GAACTGTCTTCAAGCTGCTGCACAGGAGGTGATCAGTCCATTGCAGACTGGCTTCATTCTGGGCTGCCACTCCACTTCCAATGTTATCGCTCTCTACCTTCTCCAACATGCCATCTGGACCGACAAAGTTTCTGGTCCCATCTGGATTCTCAACTTGGACCAACACAAGGCTTATGATAGAGTGTGGCATGAGTGGTTGCTGGCATGCCTCTGAGCTTATGGTTTTGGTCCTCGTTTCCTCACCTACATTGCAAACATTTACAGAAACCCTTCGGTCAGGCAATCGGCAGAGGGCCTTCTCACTGACCCTATCCTTTGGCGTGGAAAAGCAATACTGGTCCAGGGATGTCAACTATGATATATATATACCTACACTGCAGGGTGGTGGCCACAGCATCATGATTTGGGGGTGTATGACCTGGGCAGGCCTGGGTCTAATGGTCTATATAGATGGCAAACTGAATTTGGAGTGTTACATTGAGTTGCTGGAGGAAGCAGTGCCTGGTAGCATCTTGAAGTGGAAGAATATACAGAGAATTCCACCAAGGGATAAATTGATCTTTCAGCAAGACAACGCCCACCCTCACAATGCCAAAGTCGCCAAGGAGTACTGTCAGCGGTCGCATGCCCAAAACCTGATATCTGTAATAGAAACATGTCTATTACAAATCCTGTCAAGATATGTGACAATGCTTGAAGTATTATGATTCTTGTCAAGATATGTAGTAGAGATGTCTCTATCACTTTCCTTGCCCAAAGATGTAGTAGTGGTTTTGCTATTGCAGGTTTCAACTAACTGCTGTGGACACTCCATCCAGAGGTAGCTCGGCACAATCAAGAATGCTGAATGTATTGCAAGACACCAAGGTCTGGTGTGATTGAGATTGTTGATGTTGCCAACATGAGTGTCCAGTGTGTCAACTGAATGCTTGAGGTGATCCCCAGACCACAGTGGACAACTGCCTTCAGCTCTATTGTTATCTGGACCACTGGTTTGTGTCATGGGCCTGGATGCTCAAGAAGCAGGGGGGTCACAGGTTCATATGGAAGGAGCACAGGTATCGAAGATCTAGTCGAGACCAGTAGAGAGCATGGTCGTAGTGCAGTCTCCATGGAGACCATGGACTCCTATGGACTCACATGCAAAGGAGGGCCAAGCACAGCCACGAGGAGGACCAAGCTCAAGGAGCAGGCACAGCCACAAAGAGGACCAAGCTCAAGGAGCATGCAGATGGTTACCACTCAGGGGCTCGAGAGACAAGAGCCAAAGGAACTGTCACTGATCAAAGGAGAAGGAGCAGTGTCGAAGGAGTCGACACCAGGTCATGAGGAGGAGGAGCAGTGTTGAAGGAGTTGACACCAGGTCATGAGGAGGAGGAGCAGTGTCGAAGGAGTCGACACAGCTCAAGAGGCACAGGGGTGCCAAGCAGGAGAGGCCCCTGAGCAGTACTCGATGAAGAAGGTACTCTCTGGAGAGAGAGCAGGAGCAGCATCGCTGGCGATGCTGAGTAGAGGTATATAACCATGCTTTCTCATCATCATAGGTCAAGTGGATCCTGATCCACTCTACTCACCATAACTAGTTATCACTTCAGCATAAGTATATATTAGTTTCAGTCAGCATAGCAGCAATCCATCAAAGGTTGCTCCTCATCGTAGTGTGTGTGTTGTATCACCACTACCTGACGTCCGAAGGCGCCCATAGCAGGTTAGCGGTCCGGATCAAGATAGAACCGAAGGCAGTAGTCCACTGCAGTCCAGGGATCACTTCAAGCATCAAGTCAACACACTGGACACTCGTGTTGACGCCACCAACCTTATCACCAACACCATCAACCTCATTATCATTGACATCACCAATCTCATCACCAACACCATCAACCTCATCATCATCAACACTCACACCAGACCTTGGTGTCATCATAACATTGATATTGATCATGCCGAGCTACCCCTGAACGGAGTGTCCACAGAGGTCAGCCGAAACCTACGATAGTATATACAACGAACGCCACCTGCTGTCACTGCACAACTTGATAGTCACCGATACCAAGACAATAGCTGTCGCACAGTTTGATAGTCACCGAGTATCTCGACAGACCGACCTGGGTTTCAGGCGCGAGACCCCTGACAGTTTGCTATGAACCACCTTTGGACATCAGTGAGCAGTGATACAACACACATGCTACAATGGAAGCAATCTACTTGATTGCAACTACACTGACTGAAACTAATGTATACTTATGCTTAAAGTGATAACTAGTTATGTATGGTGTAGAGTGGATGGAGATCCACTCAACCACTTCTGACACAGAGGCATGGCTTATATTTATCTCCACAGGGTCACCTGTGACTCTGCTCCAGCTCTCTCTCTCCACAGGGCACTGTCTTCATCAAGTGCTGTGGTAGAGACCTTTACCAGTGCATCCTCCCTGCTGAACCCTGCTTCTTCTGCTCCAGGGTCAAGGAGAGCCAGCATCACCTCATCACTGATAGGGGTCCCCCCACTTCATCCCAATGACAATGCTTGCCCCCTCTTCCATCTACCTCCTGACTTTGGCACCCATCTCCTTGTGCCAACTTCATCATCGTGCAGGGTCCCTACCTCATCTGGTGGTGACCTTGAATGTCCTTGTCACTAATCCCTACTGGCTCTGTCATATAATCACCCTTGTGTCAGCAGTCACGCGCCTGAAACCTGAGATCAGTAGTAGTATCAGTACTATCACCAATTCTGTCGAGTTATGTGACAGCACTAATGGTATTTCGATTCCTAGTGAAATATGCGACAGAGCCTTCTCTGTCACCTTTCTCATTGGAATCTGTAGTTGTATTATCGTTATGACAGATTTCGACTAACCACTGTGGACACTCCATCCAGAGGTAGCTCGGCATGATCAGACTATGATACAACTCTAAGTGAACTTGATGTTGACACCAATGGTCTGGTGTGAGTATGGATTGATGATGTCGACATGAGTGTCCAGTGTGTTGACTAATGCTTGAAGTGATCCCCAGACCACAGTGGACGACTGCCTTTGGTTCTATTGATATCCGGACCACTGGTTTGCTAGAACTGCCTTCGGATGTCAGGAAATGGTGATACAACACACACGCTTCGATGAGGAGCAATCTGTTGATTACTACTATGCTGACTGTGAACTAATGATACTTATTGCTTGAAGTAATACTAGTTTGTTTGATGAGTGTAGAGTGGATGAAGATCCACTCAACCATTTGTGATGAGGAGGTAGGACTATATACCTCTTCGCAGCATTGCCAGTGACACTGCTCCTGCTCCTTCTCTCCAGAGATTACCCTCTTCGTCGAGTACTGCACAGGGTTCTCCAAGGAGGCACCTCCTCTGTATCAAACCTTGTCCCTCCTGTCTTTCCTGAGCTGTGTCAACTTCATTGACACTGCTCCTCTTCTTCATGTCCCTTTCACCAGTGTCCTATACACAGATCTCCTTCCTTTGACCAGTGACGGTTCTCTTCTACTCCTGTTCTGTGGCCCCTGAGTGGTAACTGACCGCATGTCACTGAGCTTGGTCCCTCTCATGTGTGAATTGTTGTATGGACATCCTTGCTACTGATCTCTGCAGAATCTGCCACATGGTCTCGCTTGTTGCAGATTCTGGTGGGATTCATGATATTGACAATGCTCGTGCCAATTCTGCTGTGATCTGCCATAGAGCTGATTCTACTGCCGATCTTGGTGAACTCTGTTGCAGCTCCTACGATCTACCCAATTCCACAATTCCTGTGCTACCTTCATATGAACTTCGGTCTTTCCTCATACTGCGCACCCAGGCCCATGACACCTTGCCACTAATCTCCATGGAATATGCCATACAGTCTTGTTTACTACTGATCCTGGCGGGATTTGTGATACCATCTTTTCCTCATGCCAATCTGTGTGAGATCTGCCATAGAGCCATTTCTCTTACAGATCTCAGTGAACTCTTCTGCAAGTCCCATGATCTGCCTGATTCCTCAATTCCTGCACTCCCTTCATATGAGTTGATCGATCTTCCTGCTTCCTGCATATCCAGGCCCATGACAAGTACCTGGGGGAGGTCAAACTCAATGTATTGCCCTGGCCTGCAATGTTTCCATACCTGAATCCTATAGAACATGTGTGGCAACAGCTGAAAAAGCAGCTATATCAGCAAAGATATACTATCAACAACAAAGCTCAAGTCATTGCAGCTATCAACAGGTTTTGGGCAACTTTTCCCAAGGAATCAGTTCAGGCACTCATAAAGTCAATGCCCAGAAGGTTACAGGCTGTAAGGGTTGCAAAAGGGGGGTCATACAAGATACTAAAGTATAGTATATAGTAATTTAGGAGGAGCTTTACACTCAAAAAAAAAGTTGTGGCATTTTCACTGCACACAAATGTGGTCCAATCACAACAAAACTTATATGTACTTGTAGCTCTCAATCTCAGCTTTCCAACAATATGTCACAAGCTATACTTCATTGAGGATACCAGCTCTTGAAAAGTGAAGTTGATGTGTGGTGATGAGCATTTAATTATCTTAAAAGATGCCAGGCAATTTTGGACGCGACTGTAATAGGCCTTCTTCGGCCTGCTATTTTTATTTTTATTTTTAAACTTTTTCCGCATGCTTTTTCGCAGTTCTTGTTGTGCTCAGGATGACCTCTGGGAGGAGACGTATGGTATGGTGTACGAACATTTTGGACAGATGGGGCCATGTCGAGGTTGCGGTTCTGGTTTGGCGTGTGGAAAATCGGAGGCAGCTTCAAGTCCTCATCCTTGCTAGCTACTGTATGTTGACAGAGGTAATACTTGCTTAGGCTTTGGTTTCTTAGCGGGCCTGACAAGACAAGACGGGAAAGGAGAGATTGGAGCTGATGAGAACAGGGTATATTGATTATGGTACAGATGGCAATGCGGACAAAGAAAATTATTGTACAAGCTGGTTTCAAATCAACCACACTATGCCAGAAGCCGATGATGCTGAGTAGCTGAAATCATGAAGTAGGAGCACGACGAGTAGCATCCAAAGCATCCAACTGAGCCAAGTGATCTGCCAGATCATCCAATGGTGTCCTCTCCTCCCCCTTCTGCTCGCTCTTCTTCTGCTTCTCCGCCTCCTCTCCTACCAATGACCCACTCTTCCCACCCTTTCCTGCCGCGGTCGCATCCTTAACCCCACCCGTACTAGTCGGCATCAAGACACCCCCAACCCCAGTCCAACCAGGAGCCATCTTCCTCAACCTCTCCTCCTCTCTTTCCCTCTTCTCCCTTTCCCTCCCCTCCAAGTATTGCTTGTGCTTCTCTAGCAAATGATCTATTGTCGAGGACGAAGGCGTGTTCGGATCAAGAACGTAGGATTCGAGACTGAAGGGGTAGACGAAGTATGCCGAGATGTCTGCTGGGAGTGGGTGCAGATCGGGAGGAAGCTGGACCGGCGTTGGGATGGAGACCGAGGGTGATTTGATGAGCGGTACGCGGGATGCTAGGGAGTAGAGGTTGTTGCTGCGGTTTTGTGAGGTTGAAGGGGAAGCGTTTGAAGATGACATTGTGGATGATGGGATGAAGGGTTATAGGGGATTGGCAAGTTGAGGTGCGAGGTCGATGAGCACTTGCCGCCGAGATTTCCAAACGGTAAGAATCGATGGCGTGCTTGCGAGGCGTGCTTGCGCCGAAAAGCTGAGAAGTGATTGAACGATGACTGGGCGAGATGGAGATGATGGAGCGAGAAGGGATCATCAGCGAAACAGTGAATGCGTTGTTGCACGGACCCTAACTCTAACTCAACCTCCACAGAATCGTCTTTGTCGCGTGGAGCAATTGCGGAAATTCCACCGATTTCGTCGAACCAACAGCGCGGGAAGCGCGCAGATAGTGCTCAAAATCACCACAACCCTCGATTCTTCTCGACACCCTTCTCTTTCTCACCATCATATCACGGCAACTCTTCAACCACTGCCTTTCATTCTATTATCATTATCGGAAAAGACCGATCAAGCACTCTTCAGCATCCTCGGGTGAAATCCGAAGCCCATCAGCGTATCGACATCGACAACAGTAACAGTTTGCGGCCTCTCACACGACGTCTACGACAAGTAAGCACAGCATTCAAACCGGCTAGACCACCGATACGAAAGCATCAGATCCTCGCAAAGTTTTCTGGTCGCCTATTATAACAGCCCCAGAGAAGTCACTATCATTCATTAGGGACGTGCGGCAGGATGGAAGCAGTCGCTGGACCATCCAGAGTCACCATGGCGCCAACTTCAAGTAGGCGGTTTCGAGGTCGAGCGGACTCTCCCACAATCGAACGCATAGTAGCAGATACGAATCTCCCAGCAATAACACCAGAGCGCAGTGTCTGTGACGCCCGTGATGCACCACAGGCTCGATCTCAACGCACTCGACGAAGTACATCACGAGCCGTCTCCCCAAGAAGACAAGCAACCCGCACCAGCTTCTGCCTCCTACTCCTAACCCTCCTCGCCTTGATCCTATGCCCCCTCGCTCTAGCCTCCGAAGGCGACCGCTCTCCTGAATACCGCATGTGCGTATCTTCCTGCACCGCCGACCTGTGCCGAGACCACGTTGATGACGGCATTATGTTCGCCCATCGTCTTCCCTTCATCCTCCGCCTCACTCGATGGACTTGCGAAGACGACTGCAAATACCACTGCACGCATCGCATTACCAACGATGCTGTCTCTCGCGTTCAACGGATTCAACACGATGCAATTGCCGAAGTGGAAACTTTATCCAAAGAGAACCCAATCTCCCCCGCCGCCAAGTCTGAGCGAGCAAAAGCACTGGTGCAAACGCAGTTGGCGATCCTACGACCGGTGCAGAAGCAAATGGTCCAATTCCACGGAAAATGGGTCTTTGTCCGTTTCCTCGGTGCGCAAGAACCTTTGTCGGTTCTATTCAGCCTATTCAACCTCCGCGTGCATTACAAAGCACTATTCATGATGCGCAAGCGACTTCCCGATGCGTTCCCCCTCAAACTCGTATACATCGTACATACGCTCATCAGCATCAATGCTTGGTTCTGGTCCGCCATCTTCCACACTCGAGACAAAGACTGGACCGAAAAGCTAGACTATTTCAGCGCAGGATCGGTCATTATGTCCGCCTTCTTCTTTTCCGCATGTCGGCTGTTCAGGTTAGCACCGGGTGGGGAGAGGTTCGTGATGTTAAGAAGGGTGTGTCTGGGAGCGTTGGGGTTACACGTGTTGTATTTGAGCGTGGGGAGGTTTGATTATGCGTATAATATTGCAGCAAATGTTGTTGTGGGGTTGGTGCATATTTTGCTTTGGTTGACATATTCGTTGAGGCCGACGACGTTCCCTAGTAATCCGTTGGTTGATAGGACTGTGTACTCCAGGGCGGCTATGCGAGCAGCCAAACCAAACCTTTCGGCGCTTAGCACGCCAAATCCGTTGAGTAACGGCTCAGCAACACCGCCGGTGCCGGTTTCGACGAATATTGGGCCTCCCAGTTCGCATACGAAGCAGAGGAGAAGGTTGCAGTTGTTATTGGCATTGATGTCGGGATCGGTACTGCTCGAGTTACTCGACTTTCCACCGGTTCTGCGGATATTGGATGCTCATGCGTTGTGGCATTTAGTTACGGTGCCGATCACGCAGATGTGGTATGAGTGGTTGGTGAATGATGCGCAAGAGTGTGTTAGTACGGGATGGTGGCTGTCGGATCGAACGGGTGCGTCGGCACATGGTGGGGAACAGTTGAGTTCGATGTTGGAACAGATCAGTGAAAAACTGAAGGGGAGAGCGGCGAGTCTGGCTCAGAATATGGAGCTGAATGCATTGACGACGAAGCTGAATGAGTTGGCGAATAAGGCTGGGTTTGGTGGGAATGCTAGTGCAGCAGAGGTGAATGGAGTGGGAGGCAGTGCAGCCGCGGCAGATGAAGATGGGCTGGGGTTGGGAATTGGGAAGAGCGGGAGTGGTGCAACTAGTACGAGTATTGGGGTTGGGGCTGGGGGGTATTCCTCCTTGACGGGCAGAGACGGTGCTGGTTCAAGTGGGAGTGCAGGGAAGGCTAAAAACTACTAGCAATAGCACACGACAATGGGCAAACTTCAACACCCTTAGTCGCTGAAATGGAAATCTTTGTTTCCCTTCTACATGTGTCATGATATCTGTATTGGTGTGAAGAGTACATTCGAGAGGTTGCCAAGATCAAAAGAGTAAGGGCTAAAAAAAGCAAAAGAACTGCAACACCCAGGATTCCCGCGTGGTCCCCCACCGCAGTACTGACTAGGCGATACCTTACTTAACTTCGCAGATCGGACGGGATGCGGTGCTTTGAAGGTTCTATGGCCGCAGATGTCAACTTTACTCTAGTAGTACAACATGTACTTAGCACTTCATGTCTCTACACGGCGTATGAGGGTGGGGTTGAGAGTTTCGGAATTCGGAAATGACTCTTTCATTCTTCCCGAGAGGTTTTTTGGAACTTCTCCACACCTTTTCCCTTCCAGGCCTACATGTTCACACCACATCTGATCATCAAGTGACGCTAACAGAGAGAAGAGAGGATGGCCGACGCTACAGCCTCAACATCAGCTTCTCCTGCCGCTGCTGTTGGAGGCGGCAGAAAACGCGCTCGAAAAGCCCGCAAGCGCAGCAAGAAGAACAAACCTGCCACCGGTAGCAACAATCCTAACGAGTCTGGTTCTGATTCTTCGTCGGAAGACGAAGCACCGTCGAAAGCTGCACCAACTCCGAAAGCTACACCCAGCAAAGCCTCAGCAAATCCAGCACCAGCACCGAAGCCATCTTCCTCAGCCGCACCTGCTTCTCAGGGCTTGTCGCAGGTGAACCTGCACAAACCATCATTCATCACCCGCGCCCCGACCACCAGCGCACGCAAATTCACCATCTCAGTCGCTATCCCCGGCTCGATCGTCCTCAATGCTCAGTCTCCTGAACTTCAGTCCAGGCTGGCAGCACACATCGCTCGAGCATGTGCGATTTTTAACGTGGACGAAATTGTAGTCTTCAACGAAGGAGAATTGCGGAGTGAGACTTCGGATCCTTATCAGCATCGGCATAATCAACAACATAGGGGTACCAAACGCAGATATAATGAGCCGCAGAATGCAAAGACACAGCAAGGAGAAGGAGAGGTGCAAGAGGGTGGAGAGGGGGAGGAAGAGGGAAAAGGAGGAGGGTTTGAACCACACACGTTTTTAGCAAGAGTATTGCAGTATCTAGAAACACCGCAGTATCTGAGGAAAGCTTTGTTCCCCATGCATAGGGATTTGAGGTTGGCAGGGTTGATGCCTCCATTAGACTGTCCTCATCATTTGAGGTTTGAGGATGAATCAGAGTATAGAGAAGGAGTCACTGTAGACACGCCTCATTGGGCGAGGAACCGCGGTGCTGGAGGAGGGGGGAATAGTGTATACGTCAATATAGGTTTACGAGACCCCATCGAAGCATCCCTACCCACAACAGCAAAGTTAGAATCGGGGGTAAGAGTAACAGTCCGTATGCCAATCAACACCTACGAGCCTGGCTCCATCGTTTCGCCTCGCGAACCAGTGGAAAGGTTGGGTTGGTATTGGGGCTACTCTGTCCGTCTTGCATCCAGCCTATCCTCCGTTCTAACCTCATGCCCCTTCAGCTCTTCCTCAGGGTACGATTTGGTCATTGGCACATCCGAACGCGGAGTCTCACTTGCCGACCTTGCGATCGCCACTAGCGCACAAACTCCAGTTGCTTTGCCATCAGGAGAAACAATCCAACCTTTGCCGAGCAGCTTCAACCACGCACTGGTGGTGTTCGGTGGGTTGAGCGGGTTGGAAGTGGCGGTGGAGCAGGATGAAGGGATTAAGTTGGATAGACATACGGCGAAGGATCTGTTCGATGCTTGGGTGAATGTGGTGGAGAATCAGGGGAGTAGGACAGTTAGGACGGAAGAGGCGATTATGATTGCTCTTGCGAGGTTGAAGCCGATTTTGGAGGGGGTGGCGGAGAATAAGAAGTGAGTGCAATAGAAGCTTATTGCACTGTGTGAACGGAGTAGAGTGTGTGCGTGTGGAAACAGTGTAGATTCGTGAGGATGAGACTGATAGTACATGTGATCTTTGAGGAAGAACGGGAGGTGATTAGACTTCTTCTGCATCGTCATTATCTCTAAACCTCGGGTTCTGTTCGACATCAAAGGAGAGAAGAGACAAGTCAGTGTGTGAGTTTCGAAGCAAATAAATCGTTGTGATGTTGCGAAAGCCTACCTTTTCAGAATGCCCATAAAGCTCCTGATCCTCCTCATCATCGTAACTCCTCTCCCTCTTCGCACCCTGAGCCAACCCCCCAACACCTCCCCTCCCATCCTCATCCCACCCCGCCGCTCCCGCACCTGACATGGCACCGTCATGCCCTCTCGCATCACCCTCCAATTCACTATACATATGCTCTGCACCGGTCGGCACCATTCCACCACCACCCATATCCATCCCTGCCGTTTCCTGATACAACTGTTCTCTCTCCAACCTCCTCGCCTGCTCTGCTTCCATCCTCTTTCTCTCCTCTTCCTCTTTCAGCCTGTTATGTCCCCATCCACCTCTTCCTGCATCGTACTCTTGTCTGTATTCATCTCTCACCTGACCACCGCTCCTTCCTCTACCGTACTGTCTTCCCTCCTTGTAGCCTGGATCGAGATCGCATCGGATCACGCGCTCGTCGAGTTTTGTGCCTGAGACGTAACGCATGCAGTCTACCGCTTCTGCATGGGTGTAGAATTCGACAAAAGCAAAACCGCAGGGGGTTTTAGCGTAACGATCGAGACCCATAATGATACGTTTGATGCCGCCGCCGGTGGAAAGGGACGCAACGCGACCGAACACCTCATAGATCTGTTCCTCGGTGGTGTAGAATGAGAGGTTGCCGAGGTAGAGGGTGGAGGTGGCACGAAGTTGCGCGTGTTGTTCTGCTTTGGAAGCCGCTGAACGCGAGTCTCGATCTGTTGTTCGGGATGAGTAAGGGCAACAGATGGGTTTCGAGGAGGGTCAGTGGACGAGCTGGTGTGAAAAAGTTGGGTTTGAGTGGGGAACTTACAAGATGAGGGAGCGTCTAAAGGCTCCAAGATGTGCGACATGATTGCAACGCTTCTCCTTTACCCGTGTCTGAGAGCTATGATATGCGTGTTGCTGGTCCCGTTCGATGTTGGTGCGGAAAGGTGGAAAGCAGCATCAATTCTACTGAACAACACCAAAATGTTCTGTCTTGGCCCGTCCATCTATTCTCAGTCCGAGATCCGAAAAAGTCGACCAAAAAAGTGGGAAGAAGCCCTTTCCCTCTCTCCTTTTCCTGCAAGCCTCCACACCACCTCAAACCCCATTCCCCTCACCCTCATCTGAACAACAATGAGCGATTCAGACCGGCTAACACCCCCTCTCGAAGCCTTATACTGGTCACAATACGGTACATGGTATCCTATCTTCCGCAAACATGCACCCAAATCCACCGTAATCGATATTGACGGCGTCCAACCCGAACTGCTTTCTTGGTTAGATAGCGATACGTTTGTTCTTCCTGATGGTAGTGGGCCGTCAACACTTCCCCAAACCAACGACTCTTCTTCTGAGCTATCCGATGACGAAAACGAGAAGGAAGAGCAAGAGCCGGTGATGCTGGACAAGCTGGATACGAAAATTCGACAAGTAGTGGATAAGTATGACGGAGGACCTTTATTCCCTAAACTTAATTGGTCAGCTCCGTTAGATGCTGGGTTTATGTTACCGGCGAACAACCTGCAATGTTTCTATCCGGAGGATGTGTATCTTTTGCTCAAGAGCAGCGAATTTGTAGGGAGAGATTTGGAGCAGATTGCATCCCTACATACCCCATCCCTCCCCGTCTCCTCTACGGAACACGACTCAGACCCAGCATTACAGCTCCCAACAAGCACCACCGCCTCCCCGCAATCCCAACCATCACAGGAAAGAGAGGTTCGACCGCAACTCATCCTCAAAAAGTGGTTTACCTTTGCCCGATCCCACGAGTTTCGCTGTTTTGTCCGCTCCTCTCACCTCATAGCTATCTCTCAACGTGATGTTACGTTTTACGACCACCTTCAGTCTCCACATCTACAAGCTCAGATCAAGGGCGCGATATGGGATTTCTGGCAAGATGTTATGGCGCCGGCGCAAAAGGAAGGGAGCTTCCCGTTGAAGGACTTTATTTTCGATGTATACCTAACGAAAGATCTGGAGAGGGTGTGGTTGGTAGATGTAAACGCATGGTTACCTAGGACTGATCCTTTGTTGTGGTCTTTTGATGATTTGGAGGGTGCTCATTTGCGGGAGAAGAAGATGAGGAGAAGTGATGGTGGTGGTGCGGAGGAGGAGGAGTTGGAGGATGGGATTGTGCAATTGCGGATAGCACCTACCAACGGCAATTCAACAGCAGCAGTAGATAGTACGGAAGGAGAGGATGGTGAAGAATATACAGAGGAGTGGAGCGAGTCAGATGTGGAACTACGAGTATTGAGCGATAGAAGAATGCAATCATCCGGAGGAACCAGTGCTACGTATAGTTCCAATATGGTCCCAAAAGATTTGGTCGATTTTGCGAAAACGAATGGTTCCAGTAGTGGAGGTGGAATGGGGATTGATCAGATTGTCCAGCGTTGGAACGAAAGCATCGACGCAGAGGAGGACTCCAAACAGGCTTGAAGAAGTATAGATTGTATTATGGTGACACTGAATGGGTGTTGTACATTAAGTTATCTCCGTTCCATTCTTCCCTTTCCGAAACTGCTTATGATGGACTGAGATCAATCTTCCATCGACTCCGATTTGATAGACTTCTTTTTCCTCCCCTGTCCACCACCCTTCTTCCCCGCTCCTCCTTTTGCAGGGGACTTCTTCTTACTCTCCTCCACCGCCACCTCCTCTTCTTCCTCACCACCCTCATCGTCGTCATTACCACCACCACCACCGGCGGCACCAAACCTATCCTCCTCCTCCTCATCCTCCTCCCGATCCTCATCGCCATGACTCGCCCACCACTCCTGAACCTTTATCGCCAATAACCGATCAATATCCGGCACAGGTTGCATCGCCAATCCATCCCAACCCATCTTCCTTGCAATCGCTATCCTCGCTCTATTCCTTCTCCCCAACAAACCCTTGTATTGCTCGACCAACGCACTTGTGTGATCTAAACTCTTCATCAGCACCACTGCTTCCGAGCGGGGGCCTGCACGACCGTCGATCTTTTCTCCATCGATTTCAATTCCCCCACCACCACCAGATTCGTCTTTCTTACTGGACCCGGATGTGGATTTTTTCTTCTTGGAGGGCGATTTTGATTTCTTTCCCTGTTCATCACCTGATTCTGCACCAGAGCCGGATTCATCGATGCTGCCATCCCGTTTACCCTTACTACTAGCCTCCCTTTCTAACGCCTCCCGAAGAGAAGGGACAATATCGCACAACATCTCATACCCTTTCCTAATATTAGCCCTTCTCTTTTGCTCCGATGCGATATGATTCGCTTTCTTCTCCTCTGTAGTCAACAAAGTATGCTGCCCTTTCTTTTCTTTTTCCGCCTCCTCCGCCTCCCGTTTGAGATCTTCCTCTGTGAGTTCAGGCTTGATCTCCAACCCAGTCCTCGCATCGATTAGGCCATCTTCGATATGCTGCTGCCGCAACATCTCCAGATGCGGTTGCGTACGCTTTTCCATCCGCGTAGGAGTGAAGTATGGATGCAGGTTGGCTGGGAGTCGGTGTAGTGCTGTAGCAAGGTCGAGGTCGAGGCTTGCTAGGTCTGCTAATGCGCGGATGACGGCGCCGGAGGGGCCGGTGTGGAGGGATGAGGACTGGGTGGGAGCGGTTTTGGGTGCTCCTGTAGAGGTGCGTTTGAGGGCGGTTGCTGAGGGTGAGGCTGAGGCAGTGGTGGTGGTGGGCCAAGCGGCGGAGGCACGGCGAGAAGCTTTCGGATCTGTGTTACCTGTTGGTGTCCGCGATGTGCCTTTTGGTGTTGAGTTTCCTCCTTGCCCATCATCTCCTCCGACGAAGGAATAGGCGACGCCTAACCCCGCATCTCCATTCAACATGGCAAGAGCTTGCGCTGAGAATCCTCCTCCTTGCTGCTGTTGATACCCGTGCAGCGAACCTTGTTGTTGCATCGACCCAAAATTGTGACTGCTAGGGAACTGAGCACCCAACATCGCCAGACCAGCATGTTGCTCGTCGGTCACACCAGGATAGAACGGTGGTCTTTGATGCTGTTGTTGCTGCTGATGCATCTGTTGCTGTTGCTGCTGCTGAAGACGCGCCGGAGTCTGAATCAAAATATTATCATACGGTCCATTATACCCGATCATCGAGGTACTAGATCTTCGATTCGGATCACCACCCATCCCCACCCCTTGCGGAAACTGTTGTTGCTGCTGACCTCTACTCGCCTGTGCTTCCAAGAAAGAAAGCTGTTCCATTTGCCATGCTTTGTTCTTACCATAACCTGCCGCAGCTGCTGGGGACATCGGTCCAGGTGCAGGACCGGAAAACGAAGCGTGTCGACCCGCTGGATGCGCAAAGGCAGAGTTTTCTTGAAGATGGCTGAGGTAGGATGGATTGCTAGGGCCGGATGTGGGTGGAGTAGCGCCAGAGGGTTGACGTCCGTAGAGGTTGAAGCTGTTGAGTCTTTGTGCTGCTGTTTGGTTGCTGTATGCGTCTGACTGGGAGGAGGCAGTGGAGTAGGCGAGGTGGAGTGGTTGCTGACCGGAGAGGGTGCGAGGACGCATGTCGGGACTTGCGGTTGGATCAGACATCATGCCAGCTGACGAGGTGGATGGACCTGCGAGGTGGTCATGTGTGGATGCAATGTTCGGCGGCAGCAGCGAGGGAACCTTGAAGCCGGGTGCACCGATGGTGAACGGGTCGAAGGATTCAGCGGAGGAGAGCGACTCGGTGATGAACTTGGACTCTTCTGAACTGAAGAGGGAGCCGGATGCTGGTGCTGAAGTGGATGCTGATGACGAAGATGGATCTGCAAAGCTCATGCTACCACTATAGCCATTGGCGGTGGGTGTGAGCGATGCTGATGAGCCCGAATCGGACGACGCCGATGGCGGCTGTGGGGTGGCAAAGGACATGGCGATAGAGCTTGGCCTCTCCTACGCACAGGTCGCAATGGATATGCGAGATGCTTGGGCGGTATAGATGTCGGCACCAGACCCTGCGCAACTAGTCTAGGGTTGATGCGAAGACTGCGGATGGATGAGAACTCCGCTTTCTAATACTAAGCTCGGAGCTGAGCAGCGGGGCCCGGATGACGAAGTATTCAGATGTAACGAATGTCGTATGTTGTAACTACCAGAGTCACCAAGGATGAGGTTGTTGTCAGCTGTGTAAGCCGCGACCTTTAGGATGCTAGCGAAGGTGGAGGCCACTTTTTTACCCGGATGCTAGTCAAGTATAATGAGTGTCTGCCTCCTCTTCGAATGGTATGCGAGCGCTGGATAGAGCTTCAGAGAGGATAGTGTATGCTTCGATGCAATGTGTCGTCGTCGTTCGAGAAAGACGGTACTGAGGACTGCAGGCGGCTAGGATGGATGTGGAGCAGCAAGCTTTCCTACCCTGCCTTAGCTTCGTATCCGCTCCTCCAACAAAGCGAACAAATGTGCTTTAGCCTTCGACGGAAGTTGCGTTGCCGAGAGGGACCGTGCTGGAATCGAGGATGTCGGGAATGGTATACAGTAGTGAGTCGATATCAAGAACGCGAGGGTTGAAGTGTGGATGAGGAGGAATCAAATCAAGACATGTGCAATTGCATTTGACACAAATGTGTGAATTCGGCTAAGCGGCGGTACAGCAGCGTGTGAGAGCGTGTGGAAATTGTGGGGTCTCGGATCCGGCTTGTTGCGGAAAAAAAAAATTGAAAAGAGAAAAGAGAAAAGAGAAAAGAGAAAAGAGAAAAGAGAAAAGAGAACGCTTCATCCGCTTTTGACACGCCAACTTTTGAAAGCAGCATGGCGCCACAGCCGAGAACCGCTCAGCTGTCGTGTGTTGCCTCAAATCTCGGTCCAACGGCGGCAACAGTCAATGGTATTCCCCGATGTCGTGTTCGCTAAGCTGTCATACGAGCAGCGATACACGACGCGACGCACATACCAAGCTCATGATACCACAACCTCGCAATGTAACAACGTCAAGGACAACATTCAGCGCCTGTAGCACAGTTCTTTGTTCGGTGTAGAGAGGCATGTGATGCTTTAGATTGTAGTAGCATTCAGATTTGAGTTACGACGCATCATCGTCAGTAGTCGTCGTAGGACTTCCTATCAGTCCAACGTCGGCTTCTCGCATCTTTGCTGCCAATCGCTCCTCCTGACTTCTATGCTGACTATCAGATCTTACTCTACCAGCGAACACGGGTGCATCCGAAGCCGCGTCGAATGTTGTTTTCGCAGCCACCTGCGCTGTACCTAAAGATATCGCCGTGTCAGGCTGCTGCTGCGACCTTCCGCAGTCGACTGCGATCGAGATCTTTGGTAGTGGGCGTATCCGAGTCGACGCTGGTGTTGGATTGATCGGTGCTGCCGAATCTTCTGCTCCTGTCCTCGAAACGGGTGTCAGGGACGGCGAAGCATCGAGCTGCGAAGACGATGCTCGAAGTGTGGATGCTTGCCTCGTTGGCTGGCTCGTCACAGCTGACAATGCAGCAGCGGCGACAGGTGCCGAGCGAACACTTGGTATCCTGCCAAGTGTTCCACCAGATGCTGTTGCCTGTGTCGGCGTCTGCTGTTGCTGATTAGCAATCGAAGAAGGCAGATAGCTCCACCCGTACACATCGGCCACGAACTTGGCAATATCAGGTTGAGGCTGTCGCGTTTCCGACTTTTTGATGAACGGATGGCTGATCATCTTGTGCGGACCAGGTCGCTTTGTCGGCTCCTTCTCCAGACATCGCTCGATGAAGTCACGTAATGCTCTTGACCATTTGATACCTGCCTTTTCATCGTCTTGAAGCTCGGGCACCTTCATTTTGACCACGTATGAGAGTAGGTCAATGGGTCCCAGTGGTGGTTCACCTTCGGCAGGGAAAGGAAAGCGATTGCTGGCTACTTCCAAAATCGTAAGCCCTAATGACCATACATCGGAAGTGATGGTATATGCTAGACCCCTGATTCGCTCCGGTGCCATATAGTAGCTCGTCCCCGTGAATGTACCTGCGACTGAGTTGATGAGCTCTCCTGATACTCCGAAGTCGCACAACTTGATCTGACCTTCGCGTGTCACCACGATATTGCTGGGCTTGATATCTCGATGGATGATCTTGCGTTCGTGCAGGTAGCTTAGGCCTTTCAAGACGCACTCGGCTACTTTGCCCAGCACTTTCTCTCCGGTTCGTCCGTTCCGGCTCTTGACTTTCTTGTAGATGGCGTCGAGCGAGCCTGCCTCCGCGTACTCCATGCAGATTGCAATTGATGTGTCCTGGTCCTCGAGGAATGCGCCATAGTAGCGCACGATGTAGTCCGAGTGGCATGAGCGGTTGAAAGCAAGCTCGCGCAGAATCTGTCGGTGAATTGCAGGATTGGGTGAAGTGGAAATGGTCTTCTTGGCCATGATCAGGCCTGTGGGACGATGACGCACTTTGTGGACTTCACCACTGGCACCTTCACCAAGTCTGCAAAGAATCTCGAAGTTGCCTGCCAATACAAGATCATCGTCGTATCCCGAGGTGCTGGCACGCGTCGAAGCTGCCGATGCACTCGAATCGGTTCTAGCTCGAGACTGGTGGCCTTGTGCAGACCCTTCACCGCTGCCGTGCTCGGGAGGAGCATGGTTGGAAGAGCGACTGTTGGTGCTTTTGCTGCCACTCGCGGAGTCGTTGTTCTTCCAGTAGCCATTGGATGAAGTGTTGCCGCCCATGACCGGGATCCTGAGTCCATTTGCATCGAGACGTTCGCCTTCGGAGTCGTTCATCGACATGCCACCGATAGCTCTACGCAGATCGTCTGTCAAAGCGCTGTGCATATGTGCGTTGGTCAAATGAGGCACTGTATCCGGATAGATGGATGATGCTGTCGAGTTGAAGATGCCAGGATGCCCATCGTCATAGCCCTCATCTTGGTACCCATAGGCTCCCAGATGTGATGACGAGGACGAAGCTTGTGGGATCATGAGCGAAGGTTGGGGTCGTGATAACGGCTGTGCAGGCTGCTGAAGGTTTGTGCGTGTGCTTGTCGCATCGAATGGAGGATCATTCCGATTGACCGTGCCGCCAGGAGCTGAAGAGGAGGACGAAGGCCGGGCTGGGATGGTGAGCTTTGGCATGCCCGGCTTGCGAGGCTTCTTGGGTGGGATGAGCGAGGCCATGTTTGCGGTCGATCAGAGGCCTGGGAATGCTTCGATATGGCGCGTTGGCTTATTGGCGAGTAGGTAGGAGTTGATGAGCCTCTTGCTGCCTTGCTCAGGTTGAAGCGAGCATGCAGGTGTTGGTTGTGAAGAGCTGCAGCGTCCCGCCATCTGTTACCGAGATGACGTTCGTGAGGTGCAGAGGAGAGTCTACCAGTGACGACCGGGACCACAAATGCGCGCGGCAGCAGCGATGCCGAGCCAAGATGGGTGAGTAGAGAAGTGATTTGGTGAAGGAGGTGTCAGAAGCTACTCGAGAAGATCAACAACAGCACTGTGCGCACAAAAGACACACGCTCACGCAGCGGGGACAGAAAAGCTCTTTCAATGTTAGGTTATCTGCGTAGCGACAGAATGCGGATTTTGCCAAATGATGAAAGAGAGGGTCCAAGGCGCGGTGCAGGAGCAGCAGCAAAGGAGCATCATCGCCTGCCCGAGTGTGTTGCTCTTTCGCTCTCCACTTTCCTGAGCGCGGATGGGCCGACTTTCCAGATCGAGTTGTGTTCTGGACCATCGGCAAATCCGCTTGCTCCTATCTTCCTAGCAATGTCTACCTTCTGCTATCACATCCGTATCGAATCAGCTCACGTCACAAACGTCGGATCCTCCGCCACCTGATCTCCGATAGGCGCCGTATCGATCCAGAGCCCCAGCACCGACCCACGCACAGACAATCGGAGCCCTCCGATAAGCACATCACTTCGACTCAGCTTCACAGCCACATCGTATCCCTCATCTTACACTAGATAATCAGCGCTCTTCGTCAGAATGAACATCATCGACTCCTTATTCGGCCGCGCCAAATCGCCAGCAGAGCGTCTCAGGCAACACCAACGCACACTCCAAAAGGCGCAACGAGAGCTCGACCGAGAACGAACCAAGCTCGAGCAGCAAGAAAAGAAACTCACTCAGGACATCAAGAAGAGTGCACGAGCGGGTCAGATGCCAGCTTGCAAGGTCATGGCAAAAGACTTGGTTAGGACACGTAGACACATCCACAAGTTTTACCAGATGAAGACACAGTTGCAGGCTGTCTCGTTACGTATTCAGACGCTTCGAAGTAATCAGCAGATGGCTGAGGCTATGAAGGGGGCAACACGGGTAAGTTCTGCCACTTTCCAGACTACAGTACACTGACAGCTACTGACCCTGTTCAATCCTTGCACTCGCACTGACACAACAACGACGCAGGCAATGGGCACAATGAACCAAAGCATGAACCTACCGCAAATTCAACGCATCATGCGCGACTTTGAACGCGAATCCGCAACCATGGACATGAAGGATGAGATGATGGGCGAGGCAGTCGATGAAGCAATGGATGACGAAGACGAAGGTGTAGGCGAGGAGGAGGAGTCAGATAACATCCTCAAGGAAGTGCTTGACGAGATCGGAGTGTCGGTAGGTCAGCAGCTTGGAGAAGCACCTACAGCAGCATTGTCAGCACCACAAGCAGCGCCGCAACAGCGTGTTGCCATTGGCGAAGGTGCAGGAGGTGGAAGTGCTAGCTTCGGTGGAGCATCCAAAGATGAAGATGCTCTACAGGCCAGACTTGATAGCTTGCGAAGAGATTGATTGCCTTACTTGACACCAGTTATCCTTGCTCGATGCATCCAGCACACACGCTTTCCTCATTAGATTCTGTTTCGCTCGTCACGGTTTCATGCAACGCTTTGCCATCCTTTTCTGGTAGTCTGTCTTCCCAGCTGTCTTCCGTCAGGAGTTGCTTGGTTCGGTTTCGCTAATATGGATCTGAGCTGATGTGTGCAACGAGTGGGCAGAGATGTGCACCCTTGACACGGTCCACACCTGAGAAATTCAACGCGGTTCAACGCTGTTTTAGCGTGCAGTTGCAGTCATTCTCGCCACGTTGACTTCTGCACAAGCCACTGCCGCTCATCTTTTCTCAACACCACCAACACGATCGTTCACCTTCACGCTAGTGCAGGACTTTCAGCTAACTATCAGTTGAGGAAAACGGTCAACGGTACTGAATCTGCTCCACCAGTGCTTCTTGTCCAGCTAACCCAGACCCTCGGTGTTACATGCATGGTCGTCGAAGCAGTCTCCTTACGTCGTATCGAAGATGGCGAGCGTCGCTCATCTCCCCACTCCCCTGCATCTGACGACGAACCTGGTCTCACGTCAATACCAACACTCTCTGGAGCCACACGAAGCAGCATGGTCGCCAACAACCCCGCCTCAGGCCGGTTACGGCATCCCTCACTCCCCCTTCCATTCCCACCCAAAGAAACATCCTACCGACTCAACAGTGCATTCTTCCTCTTCGGCCTCCTTAACAACTCACTCTACGTCGTCATCCTCACCGCTGCTCTCGAGCTCCTCCCTCAAGGCGTACCCACAGGCTTGGTCAGCTTTGCAAACATCTTCCCCGCACTCATAGCCAAAGCTGTATGGCCCTACCTTCTCCGAGGAACAGTTCGGTACACAAAGCGAGTATGGTCTTGTGCAGGGTTGAGCTTTGTGGGGATGTTGCTGGTGTCGTTTTTCCCGGCATTGGGAATGAGGTTGCTGGGTATTTCGCTAGCGAGCTTTTCGAGCGGGTTGGGAGAGTTGACGTTTTTGCAGTTGAGTACTAGGTATGCGCCGAAAGAAGGGAAAGGGTTGGGATTGGTTGGATTAGAGACGAATTATGCGGGTGATGCTGTCGGATGGTTTGCTAGTGGAACGGGAGCGGCGGGGCTGGTGGGTGCGGGAGCTTGGTGGGTAGTGAGAGGGTGGGGTGTGCAGACCGGAATGGCGATTTTGAGTGTTTTGCCCGGGTTTATGGTCCTCGCTTATCTGGTGGTTTGTCCTTCTGTGGAGGCGTTGCTATTTGCGGAGGGAGCAGGAGGAGGGAGCGGAGCGGGGTACGCACCCATCTCGACTTCAGAAGATGCTGCAGAAGAGCAAGCAGATGAAACCGTTGACGCAGAACCAGATACGGAAGAAAGGGAGGATTCAACCACCCCTCTCACTACCGCACCAGGCAACATCAGAGTCCGTCTCAGCTTCAACGAAAAGATGACTCTCCTCCGGCCCATGCTTCTCCGCTACATCCTCCCTCTTGTCACCGTCTATTTCGCCGAATATACCATCAATCAAGGAGTTGCACCAACCCTCATCTACCCACTTCCCACCCCGTCATCACACCCTTTGCTATCAATCATCATCAAGAAGCTCACCGACTACTATCCTCTCTATCAGCTCGTATACCAGACCTTTGTTTTCCTCTCCCGCTCCTCCATATCGATCTTCAAACTCCCCGCTATTCCACGTACCTTACTGTGGCTCCCAGCAGTGCTGCAAACCGGATTGCTGTTCTTATTGGCATCGGAGAGTTTGTATGGCTGGTTCAGGGCGAGTATTGCTAATCCGTTGGTGATCGTGTTGATCTGTATAGAGGGGTTGGCGGGTGGTGCGGCGTATGTGAGTGTATTTTACAGTATCGGCGTTGATGGAAGGAATGATGGGAACAGAATCGTTTTGCCCGCAGATGCGACGCAAGAAGCTGAGGGAGAGTATGGGGAAGATAAGGCTTATGCACTCGCAAAGAAGGCTCAGGAGCAAGAGTTTAGGATCGGAAGTGTTGGTGTAAGTATCCTCCCAAACAAGGTCTCATGATGACGTGCACGAAGAGATAACTGATTCAAGTACTTCGACCCCACTTCTGGTTCTGGTACGACAACAGTTCGGCGACAGTCTCGGTATTCTAGCAGCCAGCATCATCAGCATGCCTCTTCAAGTGGGACTTTGCAACGCCCAGGCGAGGGATGGCAGAGAGTTGTGTAAACAGGCATAGAACTGCTCTTTTGTCAGTCATCACACTGCGGATCGCACCTGTTCTCTTCAAGCTTGCTGTCTCCTTCGTCGTCTGCATCGGCTCTAAGTATACCTGTGCCATTGCTTGTGGCTTCCAGCCTTCGAATTGACATTCTTAATGTTGTGGTCACAACAGCTGACATGGGATTTTATTGTGAAACTGTTGCTAATTTATATATGTATATTACTTTGGTCTACTTTATCAGAGGGCCCTATAGCTCAGCGGTAGAGCGTTGGCTTCCAGCTTCTTGGAATTTTCCAAAGGTCATCCGTTCAAATCGGGTTGGGGTCATCAGGAAATCTTTTTTGCTTTTTTCTACTCAAGTTACTTTTGCTTCCATCTGAGCTCCGCATTCCTTTTGCATACAGTATTTTGGCACGATTTTTCAAAACTTTTTGCCCTTTTGTGGGCCTCCACGAACGCGGAAGATCGAGGGGCACACCCTCCAACTTTTTTGAACAAGACTTATCAAGAAATGGCCGAGTTATGGTGATTTTAAGGTTTTTGAGATGGTGTCACTGCTACTAATCAGGCGTCGCTCCTGATCACCTCGACCTTTCGACATCACCACTCCTCACCAGACTCGACGACGACACTCAGCAGACCACAGCGCATCCCAACACATCAAAAACCGACAGCATCGACGCCTCTGCAGGATCCAAGGACAGAAAACACCACCTTCGCACCCTCTGCATCCATCCGACCGCAAACAACTTGACTTCGACTCAATGAAATCGCGACTTTTCGCAAGCTGCACCACTTTGGCGACGCTGGGGAGCTCAGCATAGCAACGGGCAAAACCAGCACCTCTTTCGTTACAACTCCCCCGTACCTTTTTCAGCGACAGCTCTGGAGGGCCTGATCACGACGGCCGGTCCTTTGTTTGCTCTACTCCAACCTGCCTCTGACCTTGTGTCTGCGACTCTTCTGGCATTTATCGGTGACTTTGGCCTACGACTCTCTTGCTTGCTTGCTTCGGCGACCAGGAAGTTACCTCTCTGAGGACCCAATGTTTGTTTGCATCTGTCGGTCGAGAAGTTCGATCCTGGCCTAGAGGCATTTTCTTTCCCCTTTGGTCCTTTTGTACAATATCTGTTTCGATGCGGTTCCAATATCTTCTTTGGTCTGATATAATAATAATAAAAAGTATTGTCGAGCCCACTACTTTTTCAGACGCTATCACATCCGAGGACGACGGAGGATGGATGATACACATTTGCTTAAGGATTCAATACCCTTGATTTACAGAAAGAGATACACAACTAATACTTTGACGGGTGATACAATAATCGACGATCTAGCCTCGGGAGCCTAGGCAAACTGACTCTTACGCATAAGATTGCGTCGAACACGACGCTTCTCCGAACCCAACTGAATCGGACCCTCTGCTCCATTGACTGCGGTTTGCTTTCCCTTCTTCTGACGATTCGGTCCGCTGGTGGCAGCATGAGGCCATTCGAGATACGGCACTTGGTTACGTGGCATTCCAGCCAGCAACGGCACCTCCGCCTGACCGCCCTTCGAGGAACCAGCTTCATCCTGCGAATAGAAAGTAGCGGGGGAAACATCAAGTTTGCTCTCCCTAGCTTCTTTGATCGCCTCGAAGTCGAGTGAAGCCCACACGGGAAGTTCAAGAGCGCCTTTGACCAGACCGATGCGGCAGCTGTTTTGCTGAATTTCTTGTAGGAAAGTGGTGTCGAGAGGTGTGAGAAGGTGGATCTGGCCTGAGGCAGGATCGATGGAACGGACGATGCCGAGGCCAAGGCAGCGAGTGGAGAGACCAGGAGCGGAGTGAGCGAGGTGGGCTGCTCGGTCGAAGGCTTGTTTCCAGGTGCTTGCTGGGTTGCCTTCCTCCTCTGCTGCGGGATCTTCCTCGTCGACTTGGTCAGAGACAACAATGCCGACGATGGAGGAGTTCAATGCAAGGAGCTTAAGGCTGTCAGGTACGGATGATCCAAGAGCAAGGACGCGGATACCAGCCTGCAGACCAGAAGCAACGTCGATGAAGAGTGGACGGCGGTACGCGAGCGGCTCGGAGAAGTCCCATGTGCCTTGAGTCTTGAATGCGTTGGAGTTTCCAGCTGTGGCGAGCTTCTGCGCGTAGAGGTAGCTCATGACGTTCAAGAGTCGGCTTTCGGCAGGTGCGAGTTTCGAGCCCATCTCAGTGACGTAGCGCGGAGGAGTTGAGCCTCCGTCACCGCCCTTTCCTGTCTTAGCATCTTCCCTACTCGATCCTCTGCCGTTCTTCTCCTCAACACCATTCTGATAGTTGCCATTGCCGTTATTGCCCTGCTGTCCGAATGTACCCTGCACGAACTCCAATTGCGAGACACTCTCGAGAGTGATGATCTCAGGCCCAGAGCCAGCGATCGCTCCATGAGCGTCCAGCCAGACAGGGCCACGGGTGGGAGGAGGTACGGGATCAGGCGATCCCCGTGGAATAACGTCAAGGATGTGTGTGGGTCGGAGCACAGGTTCGAGTCGAGAGGCGAGATCGGCACCAAGACCTTTGATCCAGCCTTGCGTGTTGATGATGAGTGGGACTCGCTGCTGTTTGCTTGAAGCGTCAGGTTGGCCGGGCTGGATATCTGTGCGGAAGTATTCGATGAGATCGTGAATAGCAGCGACGTAGCTCTCGGGATCGTCTCGGGGCGAGACATCGCCGGTGAAGTGTGCACGAACGGGGACGCGAGGTTGGCACCAGCCTGGACCGAGGGTGATGCAGCCTCGAGCGGGACCTTCGATGCCTTCGGGGTTGGAGGATCCTGCTTGTGCTGCAGTGTGGCCGTTCTGCATTTCACTCTCGCGCTGCTCAGCTCCTTCGTGCTCCTCATTCTGTTCGGGTCGTTGTCGCTTCTGCACCTCGTCAGCGATGTCAAAGACGTGTAAAGCCACCATGCCTGGCGGACCAAAGTCGCTCTGACCTAGATCGAGCTCAAGGTAGGCGGCCTTGCCTCCGATCATGTCACCCAACGATAGCAATTGTTCAAGAGCCATGCGACTGAGTGTACTCTTGCCGACCTTCTTGTTGCCGCGAACTAGAGCGACGACGGACTCTTCCTGTGGGTGTTGCGCTGCCGATAAGGCGGATGCTGTAAGGGTTCGGAGGGCGTTCTGCCAGGTGTGAGGCATATAGGTGGCGCTAAGGCCAGCAGTAGCAAACATACCGTGAGCTGCGATATTTCTGGGCTTCCGAGCAATCTTCTCAACGTCAGGAGCGATCAGAATCTTGATAGTGGAGAGCTGGTAAAGACTGCCGAGTTCGAGATTGGGCGGCATCGAGAATGGGGTTGCGAGGCCGCCGATGGGACAGACCTGGCCGATGGCTGTGATGGGGGACGAGAGTGGCGTAAGTTTGACGACTGTGTCGAAGCCGCTGCGCAATATGTTGCTGACGACGCGATCCGCATTGAGGTCTTCTCCTGACTTGGAGCCATTCTGTTGTGAGTCGTGCACGTTCAACACCGATCCAGGAATCGACTTGAGGACTGGGAGTGGGTTGCTGACGGGAGCAAAGATGTTGGTGGTGCGGAAGCCCTGGTCCGACGAAGAAATGATAGCACCGCCGATCTGGACGCAGCCCCAAAGTACCTCGATGTGGCCGATGCCCACGAAAACAAGGGTTTCTCCATGTCGCATGCCAAAGTACAGCTCTTCTCTTGCACGCTTGCGCTTGTTTTCGATGACGTGTACGTTCTGCGAGTCTCCCTGCAGGATCGGTGTGAAGTTGGAGTACGGGATTGCGTCCAGGAGTGCTTCCCGAGTCAGCTTGTTCGCAGTATCATCTTCTTCTCCGTCCTCCTCTTCACTGTCGCTGTTGGGGACGATTGGCTCGGCGCAACCCTTTCCCTTGCGATCTGATTGCTGTTTGGCAGCCGTGATGCGGGTGGATGTGTGACGTTGCGGACTGGTCTTAACCGCTGCTTCGTCAGTCTCCTTCTCGTCATCCTCCGAGGAGTTGTCAGAGTCAACGCCCTCCGCTGCGTCTCCTTCCACGAGGTCATGTCCAGGTGCGGATGCTACCTCTTCGTCTTGGTCGTCACTCTCACCGAAGGCCAGGAAGCCCGTCACCTCGTTCTCGACGGGCATTGCAGAAGTGCCGATGCTCGCCTTGGCGTGTTTGCCAGCAGGACCCGCAAAGTATCGCTTAGCCACCTTCAGTCTCTCTGCATCGGGAGTAGCGAATAAGGACTTCTGCTTGGCTAAGCCTGTGGCCTTGCCTTTCCCTTTTTCCTTTGTCGGCTTTTCCGATGCTGCTTCTTTGGCGGGAGATGTCTTGGCTGTCTTCTTCTTGAGAGGCGTCTTCAATGGCGACTGTTTGGCTGCCTTGCGCTCCGGCTCAGCCGACGACTCGGCTTCTTCCGCGATGCTCCTGCGGGATTTGACTGGAGTGCGGGCTTTTGACTTCTTCCGTGGCGGCTGCGATGCCTCGTCGGCTGATCCGAGGTTGAACTCCTCGAGGATATCATCAATCGATGGACCCGATTCGTCGCCCGATTCGACCAGTTCCGCAGCGCTTAGCGACTTGCGCTTCTTCTGGCTAGAGACGGGCGTTGCAGTCGAGGCTAAAGCTTTCTTCCCACCGCTGCGGGATGGTGTGCTAGCAGAGGCTTTGGTTACCCTGGGTGTCGACTGAGCCTCGGCGACGTCAGGCTTCGCATATGCAGAGACAGAGCTCCTCCGTGGCCTTGATGCTGCAATTGAGTCGTCAAGTTGAGCAATAGACGAGCGTCGTCGTCGCTTCGAAGTATAACGAGGTTGGGTCTTCGAAGAGGAAGGCTCGGCGGAACGCTCGGCGGAACGCTCGCTGGTCTGAGCTGCGGATAGTAGCGGGATGTCTACCCGGACACCCGTCGATTTATCATCGTCATCGTCGATACCAACATCGTCTTCGGCTTCGCTGTCTGGCCCACGTCGAGAAGAGGAGGTCCTCCTAGACGAGCGCGAAGCAGAAGCCTTCCCCGAGCCGCTCGCTTCTGCCTGAGCCTGTTGCTGGCGAGCTTGGCGAGCTGCCACTGCGCTCATCGGAGCGGCAGCTGCTTCCTTCTTTCGAGACATGTTGGCTGCTGCGGCCTTGATGCGGAAGCAGAGGCGGAAGAGAGCTTCTTGAAGTGGTGGTCGGAAGGAAGGTAGGAGAGTGGAGAAAAGAGGCCGACTTTGGAACCACGAAATGGGGTCGCGGAAAGCGCTGGCCTGTGTCTTTTCCACCTTCCAGTGCTTCGAGGGTCCAAAACTGCGCATTATTTCTTCCAAAAAGTCTCAAAAAATCGAAAATAATTTGCCAGTGGAGAGAGCTCATCACGTGTGGCCCTTTCTCTCTTGTCTTGGCAGCCTTCAGTGTTGCTCAGGTCAAGCCAGTCCAACACATCCTTTGAGTTGTCTGCTCAACCACATCGTCTCCGCACACCCTTCGATTCCAGCACAGCGGACACAACTACGATGCCAACCAAGTCTTCAGCCAAAGGAGGTGGCAAGTCCGGCAACGCCGCTGCTTCCTCCAAAGCTAAATCGCAGCAGAACAAGGAAGAGGACCTTCAGCGTGAGCCTCTCCAGGCTGTCATCCTCGCCGATGCCTTCTCGAAGCGTCTCCACCCTCTCACAACCGACAAGCCGGCATGTCTTCTTCCGCTATGCAACGTGCCCTTGCTCGACTGGACACTCGAGAATCTCGCTCTGGCCGAAGTTGAGGAGATCTTCATCCTCGCAACCCGACACTCGGACCAGATCAAGAAGCATCTTGCGACATCTCCAGCTCGATACTCGCTCCCCAAGATCACTGTCATTGCCACTCCAGATGCGCAGTCGCTCGGCGATGTGATGCGTGAGCTCGACAGCAAACAGATCATCCGCTCCGACTTTATCCTCATTCACGCCGACTCGGTTGCCAGCATGGATCTTGCCAGCATCGTCGACGCACACAAGCGCCGCAGAAAGAAGGACAAGGACGCTATCATGACCATCTGCACTATGCCTGTCGGCAAGCGCAGCAGGATCCGCACACCAGGCAACCTCTCGCTCTTCTTCGTCGAGCCGCACACTTCGCAACTCGTACACTACGCACCCGTCCGCGCGGCACCAAGGCTCAGGACCACAAGCCTGCCGCTCGAAGTTTTCGATGAGGATGCGGCTGCCACTGTCAACAGTCTTTCTCGGGGCGCTGAGGTAGACATTCGACACGATCTGGTCGACTGTGGTATTGACATCTGCTCCGCCGACGTACCGCCTCTCTTCTCGGAGAACTTCGACTACCAGGCCCTCCGCCGCGACTTTGTGCTTGGTATCCTCACCTCTGACTTGCTCGACAGCAAGATCTTTGTTCATGTTGCACCGACCGGTCCACCTGCCTCTGCAGTTCAGATTGCCAGCTCGTCTTTCCCCGAGACCGTCGGCACTTCTACATATGGTCGTGGCTACGCTGCTCGTGTCAAGTCTCCAGCTGACTACGATGCTATCACAAAGGACGTCATTGGACAGTGGACCTACCCACTCGGACCCGCAGGCTACTTGCCAGGTGGTCAACGATACAGCCCACGATCTGGTCTCCGGTTCCTCGGTGACAACGTCGTCCTCAGCCGCACATGTCAGCTCGGACCTCACACTTTGATCGGATGCCAGTCCGAGATTGGCGAGAAGGCTTCGCTGCAACAGTCAGTGCTCGGCTCTTCCGTCAAGATCGGCAGCCGCACCAACATTTCTGGCTCCTACATCTGGGCCAACACTCTCGTAGGCACAGGTTGCACTATCGAGCGCAGCATCATCGCCGAGAACGTCAAGATCTTGGACGGCGTCAAGATCAACAAGGGCTGCATCATCGCCGATGGATGCGTGGTCGGGCCCAACATCGAGCTCCCCGCCTTCAGCAGGATAGGCAACAGGAAATTCAAGTCCGAGTTCGACTTTGATAGCGATAGCGAGGATGGTGAAGGAGAAGATGCGGCACAGTCTGCAGCTGCTGGTAGCAAGGACGCCTCCTCGAAGCTGCTGGGCGCACAGGGTGTCGGTTTCCTCTGGCCAGCGCTAGGCGAGAAACCATCGAGAGCCGAGGATGACATGGACTCGGAAGCTTCCGATGATGATGAGGACGAGGTGGACGAGATCGAGCGTTCGCACAACTTGCGGTTGATGCGTCTTGGTGCTGATATGGACGATATGCAGCTTTCGGACTCGCTCTCTGACGTCTCCTCCGTCGGTGTTGGCCGCGATTCGGACGATGATGATGACGACGATGACTCAGAGCTTGGTACAGACAACTCGATGTCGGACGACAACGACGATGCATTGATTGGATCCTCAATGATGCTCGACGGCGAAACTAATGTCGAGAGGCAAGCAGCTGTCAAGCGACTCGACGAGTTCCGCACCGAAGCTGCCGCCTCATTAGAACGTGCTTTCGAAGAGAACCACACGGTCGACGATGCAGCCATCGAACTCAAGACCCTCCGTATGGCCTCGAATGTCCCGCTCAAGGAAGTCCGCAAGACGGTCATCGGCTTCATCCTCACCAAATGCGAGCCCGATCAGCCAAAAGAAATGCTCAAGGTGCTCGACAAATGGTGTCCGCTCATCTCCGTCGTCGCTGTCGATGACCAGATCGAGGCGCTCGCCACAGTGCAGAACTTCTGCGCGACACACGCAAAGTACTTTAAGATCTTCATTCCGCTGTTGAAGAAGTTCTACAATGATGACATCATCTCGGAGGAGAACATCGTGGGTTGGTGGAAGAGCCCGTTGAGTCGTCAGACCGAGGCTGAGGTTGGGGGTGAGAAGAACTTGCAGTTGAGGAAGGCGGCAGAAGAGGTCATCAGGTATATCTTGGAGTCTCAAGAGAGTTCCGATGAGGATGAGGACGATGAGGATGAGGAGTAGTGTACACTCAACTTAATGCAGACTTGGCACATTCCTCAAAAGCTTAATCCCAAGATGTGTGGTCGGTCCATTTGGTCAAAGATCTCCTCAAACACACGAAGTCGCACACAGGTGAACAGGATCGGCGAAAAGCTAAACTCTGGCTGAGATGTAAGATTTCTCGCTGTCTGCGTGAGCTGAGAATCCGGACTGCCGAAACGCTTAGCAATCACCTGCCACTAATGAATCCGAACCCAGCAGCTGATGCACCATACTTGACTCGCTCAGCTTCAGCCTTCGCCTCTTCTTCCTGTCTCTTACGCTCTTCCTCGAAGCGCTTCTCCTCGCCATACAGACTAATATCGTTCAGCATGCAATCCAGTTCTGGGCTGACGATGAACTTGCGATGCAGTTCTCCCAGCGCTGTAGCGGTGCGGTTGTTTGGATCCAACAGCATGACTTGTTGCAAGAACGTGCTCTGCGAACCACCTGTAACTTCCATGACCAGCTCGCCAAACCGTAAGAAAACGCGGCCGTCTCGGTAAACGTCGAGCTTGCCGACGAGACCGTCTGCCTTGCTGGAGCCTGCAGATTTGGTGTCGCGCTTCTTGTCGTCTTCTTCTGAATCCGCATCGGATTCGTCTTCGACTTCAGAGCTGGACGGAGCTTCATCTTTGACTGCGATTGAGGGGCGTGCTTGGCCTGCACCACCGGTGGTGCCTTCTGCAAATGATACGCTGCGACGCTTGCTTGCCGCGCTCGTGCTCTCGGCGTCGGTTGCTGTGGATGGTGCATCGGCGGCGGTGGTGGTGCTGGTGCTGGACGTCTTTGATGCCTTGAATTTGGGGAACAGCTGAGGGAACTGGAAGAGGTAGAGTCGGTTCTCGGGGTTAACATCGTCGTCATCATGGAAGACAAAGTCATCCACGAGATCGTCCATAAGCTCTTCGCCTTCGCTTTCGCTGAGATCGAGCGCATCAGCCGTGTTGACTTTCGAGTCTTCTTCTGGTTGTGGTGTAACTGATTCGCTCGAGATGATTGTGGATGTTCCAGATCCGTTCAAACCCGTAGTCACGCTAGGGTCAAGCTCTCCCAAAGCGTCGTCTTCTGACTTGACGCGTACGCCTGCAGTTGGGTTGGCGTCTCTTTCGTCCTTTAAGATTCTTCCTTCCATCTTCTTTTGACGTGCATTTGCCACTTTTTGCTTATCCTTCTTGCTCTCCTTCTCGACAACTCTTGGCAATGCTCGAGGTGCAAGCTCGTCAAGACCGTGCACTTCATCCATGTCGACAATCTCCACGCCTCCATCTTCAGGATCTGAATACTGTTCCGCATCTTTGAGCTTGTCTGGGTTGCGATACGAGGCCCTGTCTGGATCGGTCTTGGCGGGAGTGTTGCCTCGGCTGGAGTCTGCACTGCCTATAGGTGTGAAACTTGAACCACCTGGTCCAACGGGAGCTACTTTCTTTCCGGTCGGCCGTAACGAAGGACCCAAGGCGAAAGGTCCTGACGCTGTCATCTGTACTGCTTGGCGTGGTGGACGTGCGCCGCCACGACCTCGACCTCTGCCTCTACCTCCTGGCGCTGAGCTCGCTCCGTGTGGTGTCGAAAGTGGCGAAACTGATGGTGACTCTGCTGCGGTCGATGACTGTGGTGCTGGCGATTCGGATGCTTTGCGTCGTTGCGGCCTGACTGGACGGAACTGCATGCGAACTCCTGAGCCTGGACCCGCTGATCCTGGTACGCCCGGCGCAGGCGATGCGTACGAAGACCGTGATGGTACCATGGATGCACTGGACGATACTGGTGCTCCACGGCCTGGTCCTCCTCGCAATGACCCTACCCCCTGGAGAGAAGCCATGCCTCGAAAAGGTCGGGCAGCCACGGGCGCTGTATGATTTGTGCTTCGAGTGGAAGGTGCACCGTCATTGGCTTTCCCCGAGGACGAGCCGGAAGGCTGCTGTGAAGGATCTGACATCGTGGAAGTAGCCTCGATGAATACGAGGCTTCTTGTTTGAGGATGAATGCGGAAGCTAAAGGTCTGGAAAGTCGAGCTCTGGAAGCCAAGTCTTCTTCTTCTTGTTCAACAGCTGTCATGTTTGCCAAAAAAAAACCTGCAGGTTGTCATTGCAAATTCTTAGCCGACTTCCGGACAACAGGCCCGATCAAGTACACCATCGGGTTAGCCCGCAGCAAGATCGACTTCTCAACCCAACATTTTGCAGACTGACACGCGATCGATAAAGGCTCTGCAGCAAGGAAGAAGGAAGAAACGCTCTGGAATCGGGGATCGTTCCGCGCACGGTCGCAGTGAGCGCATCGTCTGTGTGTTGCTCTTCGATGCTCCACTTTGTGAGACAGCCCTTTTTCACGATTCTACGCTAGAGCCAGAGCGTCCGATCTCTGCCATCAGTAACCAGCCATGCGCATCTTCCACCTGCACTTCCTTTCCACACTACCACGATCCATAACTCCTCTCCGCAAACGTATCACTTCAACATGTCTCTCTCTAGCAAGCTTGGTATTACTGATGTTGAACTCAAGGGCAAGAAGGTCCTGATCCGTGTCGACTTCAACGTCCCCATGGACGGCGACAAGATCACCAACAACCAGCGTATCGTTGCTGCCCTTCCCACCATCAAGTATGCTATCGAGCAACAGGCCAAGGCCGTCATTCTCATGTCCCACTTGGGCCGCCCTGACGGCAAGGCTGTCCCCAAGTACTCGCTCAAGCCTGTTGCTGCCGAAGTTTCCAAGCTCCTTTCCAAGGATGTCGAGTTCCTCCCTGACTGCGTCGGTCCCGAGACCGAGAAGGCTGTCTCCAGCGCCACTGATGGCAAGATCTTCCTCCTCGAGAATCTCCGATACCACGTCGAGGAGGAGGGCAAGGGCACCAACGAGGCCGGTGAGAAGGTCAAGGCTGACCCCAAGAAGGTCGAGGAGTTCCGTGCCAGCCTCACCAAGCTCGGTGACGTCTACATCAACGATGCCTTCGGTACTGCCCACCGTGCCCACTCTTCCATGGTCGGTGTCCAGCTTCCCCAGCGTGCTGCCGGTTTCCTCATGAAGAAGGAGCTCGAGTTCTTCGCCAAGGCTCTTGAGAGCCCCGAGCGTCCCTTCCTTGCCATCCTCGGTGGTGCCAAGGTCTCGGACAAGATCCAGCTGATCGACAACATGCTTGACAAGGTCAACTCGCTCATCATCTGCGGTGGCATGGCTTTCACCTTCAAGAAGACGCTCAACAACGTCAAGATCGGCACTTCGCTCTTCGATGAGGCTGGCTCGCACAAGGTCGCCGAGCTCGTCGAGAAGGCCAAGAAGAACAATGTGGAGCTCGTCTTCCCCGTTGACTACATCACTGCCGACAAGTTCGACAAGAACGCCAAGACCGGCTCGGCCACCGACGCTGAGGGTATCCCTGACGAGTGGATGGGTCTCGACGCCGGTGAGGAGTCGCGCAAGAAGTTCCGTGAGACCATCCTCAAGGCCAAAACCATTCTCTGGAACGGCCCTGCCGGTGTGTTTGAGTTCGACAACTTTGCCGGTGGTTCCAAGGCCATGCTCGACGCCTGTCTCGAGGCCGAGAAGAACGGCTCGACCGTCATCGTCGGAGGTGGCGACACTGCTACCGTTGTTGCCAAGTACGGTGCCGAGGACGGAATCTCGCACTGCTCGACCGGAGGTGGTGCTTCGCTGGAGCTATTGGAAGGAAAGGCTTTACCCGGGGTAGTGGAGCTTTCGCAGAAGTGAATCTCTGGCCAACGTGCCAATCTGTGAACCATACTCATTAATGTTGCTAATTGCAAGCGAACTTTCCGATTATTCTCCCATTCTGCGTACTGACTCGAACAAACATGTGAGAATCTTGGCTAGGACCTTTGTTTATTGGCGGACGTAGTACCGAGCAAAAACTATCAATTGTTGAAATCTAGTAGAACGTCAATGCATTATAATTGCAACACTTTGCCAGGCTGATAAGATGGTTTCATGGCGCAGTTGGTTAGCGCGTCTCCTTAACACTTCCGATTCCGGATCGTTAGGGATTACGGAGGAGGTCGCCGGTTCGAACCCGGCTGAAATCATTTTTTAGCTGTTTTTTGGCCCGATTATGAACATGCTGATCATGCTCAGTAAGGCTTAAAACTGGACTCTTTCACTTCCCCTCATGCGGCGAGTGGGAGTCTATGATCAGAAAGAAGGGCGATGCGATTTTTGCAGCGTCCATCTTGTCGCGCTCGCTTTCTCCAAGAGGGAGCTGCCTCCCAATTTGGGAAGGATCCTCTCAGTAACCTTTGCTATCAGATACACATGAGTGGCAGAAGGGTCTTGTGGTGCTGCAGCTTCAATGCTTTCTTCGCCATGCTGACTGCATCCACCATGGTACCGAACAGGCGGAACAATGATCTTCAAGAGGCCTGCAGACGGAGACGGACCAGCTAGCTGGAATTTCTTCCTTCCCAAAGTTTTTTTTTTTTTTTTTTTTTTTTTTTTCTTTTTTTGTTTTTTTTTTGGAACCAACGAGAAGCGAGAAAAGGTCCAAACGAGTCAGAGGTGCATGCAGCAAGCTGCCTCGGTCAAGTTGTTTCACAGCCTGGGTAATTGAACGGGAACGCGTTTCTTCTTGGCTTGTGCGAAGGGGACAGAGCCTTATCAGGCGAGCAACCCTCTTTTGCACTCTCTTCTTCCACCACTATCACCAACAACGGATATCTATACCGACACCATATAGTCGGACTCCAGTGACAATCACATCTCACACTCTCTTCTGCAAGCATCACACACGAAAACACGCTCTCTTCAACACACCCAAAATCGCCTTAAATCATGCCAGGACAGACCGGAAAAGTGCTTTTGGCTTACTCTGGTGGACTCGGTAAGTAGTCCGGGAACCACTCCGGGAGCGCTCATCAGCTGTCAATCCTTGCGGGGTTCAAGCCTTTTTTGACAGGTGTTCACCGTTTCTGGCCCCTGCGCAACGCCGCAATCTAATGTCGTGGACGCCATCATTGACAGATACCTCCTTTTCTTCGTTTTCGTATATCCTGTTTAATATCTGTTGTCCGCCAAATATGGTGTTGTGCGCTTTGACCTTTGCGATTTCTCTCGCTCTGTCTGGGCCAATCGGGATGACTCGAATTCTTTTTCCAATTTCATTTCGGAATAATTTTTCCTCATCTCGCCTCTGCATTCCGCAACCCTTCTAAACGCTCGTTCGCTCGCTCGGCGCACCGATCACCTTGCTCGACACTTACTGGCAACTGATGCTCGCTCGTCATCATCGTCATCGTCGCTATCGCCATTGATCCTGCTCATCACCTTCGAAACGGTTGCTGCGCCTGTCAACAGACACCTCCACCATCCTTGCATGGCTCATCGATGAGGGATACGACGTCATCGCTTTCATGGCTGATGTCGGTCAGGAGGAGGACTTTGAGGCTGCTCGCTCCAAAGCGCTCAAGTGCGGTGCCAAGGACTTCATCCTTGCCGACCTCAAGCGCGAGTTCATCGAGGAGCTCATCTTCCCTGCCGTTCAGGCCAACGCCATCTACGAGGATGTCTACCTTCTCGGTACCTCGCTCGCTCGTCCCGTCATTGCTCGTGGCATGATCGAGGCCGCCGAGAAGACCGGCTGCCAGTACGTCTCGCACGGCTGCACCGGTAAGGGTAACGATCAGGTCCGTTTCGAGCTCGCTTTCTACGGTCTCAAGCCCGACATCAAGGTCATCGCCCCATGGCGTATCCCCGAATTCTTTAACCGCTTCGCTGGTCGATCCGCATTGCTCGAGTACGCCGAGTCCAAGGGTATTCCTGTTACTCAGACCAAGGCTAAGCCCTGGTCGACTGATGAGAACCTCTTCCACATCTCCTATGAGGCTGGTATCCTTGAAGACCCCAACACCACTCCTCCTGCTGACATGTGGAAGTTGACCAAGAGCCCTGAATCTGCCCCCGACACCCCCGAGCGCATCGTCATCGAGTTCAAGCAGGGTCTTCCATCCAAGGTCAAGGTTCTCTCGACCGGCAAGGAGCACACCGACCCCGTCGATGTTTTCTTGACCCTGAACGCTCTTGCTCGTGCCAACGGTATCGGCCGTATCGACATTGTCGAGAACCGTTTCATCGGTGTCAAGTCTCGTGGATGCTACGAGTCTCCCGGTGCCACCATCCTCCGTGCTGCCCACTTGGATCTTGAGGGTCTCACTCTTGACCGTGAAGTCCGACGAATTCGTGACCAGGTTATCACCACCAAGTTCTCCGAACAGCTCTACTACGGTTTCTTCTTCTCCCCCGAATGCGAGTTTGTTCGCTCGTGCATTCCTCAGTCGCAAAAGACGGTCAACGGTCAGGTCAAGATCGCTCTTTACAAGGGTAACGTCATCATTGAGGGCCGAAGCTCCGAAGAGTTGCTCTACGATGAGAAGTTCACATCGATGGACGAGCAGGGTGGTTTCGACTCGGCTGCTACCTCAGGCTTCATCACAGTACAGGCTATCCGTCTCCGCCGATACGGTTTGGGTCTCGCTGAGAGGAACCAGGCCGGTTCCGATCGCGAGACTGCTTACGCTATTCGCAAGTAAGCCTGTGTCGCATGCACACATGTAAATAGAATTATCTCCTTTCAAGGAAGGCAGAATCATTGAAATGCATTCTCTTTCGTCATCATCATTCTGACTTGTGTCAATTTTACTCTCTTTTGCTAGTCAATTGCCAGGTTCGAAGTTCTAGCGCAGGCTTGGGTCCAGACTTGTGCGCTCATTGTGAACGGTTTTCAACCAGGATGCAGATGCTGTGGCAGCTGATCGCACTGTACGGAGGCAAAGAGATGCACGGTGCAATGCCTCGTCGACTGTGCGAGCTTCTATTGTGGATGCGGACGGCTCCCGACCTCGAATTGCACCGCTGCTGGTACTTGATGGTGATCCCTTTGCTACACCGCGGCTGGAACTACTGCCAGAAGCCAAGTTTGGCCTGCTAGTCGCAGCCAAGCTGACAGTGCTTGTACTTGGTTGATTTGAGTTATCCCATGTTGTCTGCCATGTCTTGTCATTCTTTCCTCGTGTTGTCACGCCCATGTTGCCAGGAGAACTGGAAGAAGAGGAGCCTCCTCCGAATGCAAGACGATAGAAGAATCGCTGCTCTTCTGCTGGCATGTCCGAGATTGACTTGATTCGAGGTGGTCCTGGTGGTGGTGATGATGGAGGCGAGCACAACGTGTTGAACATGTCGTCAGCAACCACCTTGTCGATCTCCTCTACTGTCGCTCTCGCTTTTCCATTTGTCTTGGCGCTTTTGCTCGGCCGCAGTGGCTGACAAGCATCTGTTGTTTTACCACCTGCCTGAACACTCGATCCACTTGACACTTGACACTTGATAGCATCAGTCTGATCCAGAAGACTGGAGCGTCCTCTTTTGATGCCCGGTTTGCGCGTCACCCCAAGAATCTTGACCACTTGAGTTGGTGACGAGGGCAGTGGCGGCGTCGAGATGTCATCAAAGGCATTGATGGGATCATCGAGTTCTTCCCGAGAGAGGCATCGCTAGAAGCCTCTCTGGGCTGTTGATCTTGCAAGCCAGGCCAGGCCATCTGATGTGATATTGCAAGCAAGTAAGTGGATGCTGCAAGGGGAGTTTGCGGAAGGACGGGAAGATGCATCGGTGGCTCGGTCGTACTTTATAGCACGGAAAGCTTGCGGCATAGTCGGACATTGCATGCCAGCAGAGCGGAGCGGCTTGGTGCGCAGAATCTTTCTTCTGCGAGAAGGAAACATCTGCTTCCGTCTTACTTTTGCGCTTATGGTTCAACTTCACAAGCGGCTGCAGGAACACCATCAAAAGCTTGACACTACAGAGTGTGTAGGTCAGTGACGAGTCAATTTGCGCAGCGCCGCGTATCGACGGACCGGCGTTCCCTGGCAGAGCTTAACTCAAATACGGTCGACGACCGCGAGCTCGGAAGTGTGCGGCTTGAGATACTCTTTTATCGCCGTGACGAGCAGTTCGGGCTCTTCGAGACGCCCTGCGAGCCGTCTGCGCATGTCTTGGTCCAGTTCGGTGGCGGACTTGCAAATGTATTCGAGCATGACACTGCGTAGCCTGCGAGTGCCGAAGAGCTGCGGTGGAGTTTGCATAGGTGCGTACAGCTCGGCCTTCCTTAGGTTTGTTGGTTGCTCTGTGGAAGTGGAGGTGGTGGCATCGGTGCTGCTAAGCGGATCCGAAAGATCTTGTACTCTGTACAAGACGGATGCGAGGACACGTTTGAGGCTGTTCGAAGAGCTTGTGGGGAAGGAATCCGGAAGAGGGCGAGTGAATAGCCGCGGCAAGTTGATAGACAATAGTCTGCCAGCATAGGCGTGGATTGGAATCGCATCGGCGAGGGGTGCCGAAGCAATCGCGGGCCTTTCGTTTGAGATGCTCGAGGTAGAAGGCGATGGTTTTGCAATAGATAGCAAGCCAGGCGATTACGCCTCATGCAACACGGAAAAAGAAAACATTGGATCCAAAGCTGCGCTGAATTACCCAATGGCTCAAGTAATCTCAGAGTATGCCTCGAGGAAAAGGGTAGAGGAGACTCGGAAGGAAACGGGCTGCTCATACCTCCCCAGACGGACCTAGGTTCTTTCCTCTGCCCTTAGCCTCTTATAACATGTATTTAGTCCTGCTCTTGGTCAGGATTGTACACACACTACACTAGCGAGCTGATGTTGGGTTGTTGAGGCAGTTTCGGGTCCGAACACGCCGGTTCCCCTTTGCTCAGAGCGCCAGTGAGTGCTCGGGTTTGCGGCCACACCGCACTCATCCACACACTTGAAAGCACTGCAAACCGAGATCTCTACCTCTTTTTTACTATTTGTGACTGGATCTATAAAGACAGCTCTCACACAAGGCCCCGTTTAGGCATCGTTGATCTTCTTGAGAATAGCCTCTTCGCACTGAGTAGTGGTAGCCGAGCCTCCGAGGTCAGGAGTGAGATACCTGCCCTCGCGGATGACGGCGTCGACGGCGGTGTAGATCTTGAGAGCGGATTCGGTGTAGCCCATGTATTCGAGCATGAGCGCGGCAGAGCGGATCGAGGCGATGGGGTTGGCTTTGCCCTGACCTGCGATGTCTGGTGCTGAGCCGTGGACGGGCTCTCCCTGCACACCATCAAGCAACACGTAAGAAAGGAACAGACAGCAGTCGATGAAATGAGTCATAAGGGGAAAGATGGAGGTTAAGGAGGAAGGGGAGCTGTACCTACCATGAAGAAGTTGTCACCAGCGTTAACGGAAGGCACGAGGCCAAGCGAGCCGACAAGAGCAGCGGCAGCGTCCGAAACAATATCACCGTAAAGGTTGGGAGCAACGACAACATCAAACACCTCAGGTTCACGGAAGAGACGGTAAACCATCGAGTCGACGAGCTGCTCGTTAAGCTTGACGCCCTCATACCTGCCGGCACCGCCGTTAGACTTCTGGTCCTTCTCATAAACGCCTCGGACCGAAGTACGGAAGAGACCGTCGGTGACGCTAAGCACGTTGGACTTGTGGCAGATGGTAACAGTGGGAGAATAGTTGGGCTGGGTGGTCTTGCGAAGTTCTTGGCGAGCAAGGGCGACTTCGAAGGCTTTCTTTCCGATGCGGGTGGAGGCCTTTTCGGTGATCTGACGAATAGCTCGTGCAATTTGACCGTCGGGACCGCTTTCGCTGGTCTCGGACTTGATGTACTGTGTGATCGAATGATTCAGAAAGTGAGGTCAACGCTTGTTAGAGATAAGTCATCTGTGCAAGCTGTAGATAGGAAATATTCTGGGAGCGAGTTTCGGAGCAACTTACCAAGCACTCAGTGTTCTCACGAATGATCACACTGTCGATAAACTTTTCTTCGTCCTTGGTGCCACGAACGCCAATGACAGGTCGAATGTTGGCATACAGATCAAGCTCTTTCCTCAACTTGACGATAGGCGAGCTGTAACCGTCCACCTTATGGGAAGGACTCGAGACCGAGCCGAACATGGCACCGTGGCAGTCGTCCTTGAGCGCCTTAACAGTCTCCTCTGGCAACGCTGAGCCGGTCTTCTGAAAGTGCTCGAAACCAGCATCGAGGTGGACGAACTCGAATTTGGGAGCACCGGGAGTGTTCTGCAATACGCGTTGAGCGCAAGGGAGAACCTCGCGACCGATACCGTCGGCAGGCATCATACCGAGGCGCAACACCTTGGAGGAAGCATTCTTGAAGATAGAGGCAGCTCTAGAAGTCATCTTTGCGGCGTGTGGGGATGGGTCGAAGGTGATGATGAGGTGGAAAAGGTAGCAGAGGTGGGGGTGTTGAACTCTTCACTTTTGCGCATGAGAAGCAAGCGAGTCACGGCATTTTCCCGAGATCCTTCTTGTGCTAAGTGTCGGCGTCGTTCGGGTTGTGAAAAAGAAAACGTTTTGGATTGTTTGTGTATGCAAAGTTCAACTACAATGCCATTGAAGGCCGGTTGGCCCAATGGTAAGGCGTCTGACTACGACCGTAGCCGCCCAAGCAGCGAGTAATCAGGAGATTCTGGGTTCGAGCCCCAGGCTGGTCAATTTTTTGTTCACTTTATTGATCTCGTCTCTTTCTTGCCCTGACCTTTCCCCTAGATTGATGTGGAAAGTTGCAGCCCTGAAGACAACATTGCGCCTGGTGACTTCTTAGCGGAGCGTATTCGTTTTGACATGGCTGGGTACTCGGCTCATCCTCTCATGTGCGGCCGGAGTCGATAAGGACGCATGTTCAGCCCACGCTTCAGGTCATGGGAGTCTGCAACGAGCTGATTGTCTGAAACTGACAGCTCGGTCATCCTGAGATGTGTACTTGACCTCTGCAGTGATTTCATTGACGAACAACAGGAGAGTTAACAGATCAAGCGGCTCTGCTCTCCGTCACTCTTCCAGGGACATTCACTGAGACGTTGCTCGGCGAGAAAAGCGCTCATTCGACGGCACTGTATAATTCATATACAGGGAGAATAGAGCTCCGGCACTGGACACTCCGACGAAGACTGATCATAAAATTCAAGGCCAGCCATGAGCTTGGAAAGACATGCTGTGAGCTCGAGTAATGATTTCACACTATGGTGTATATCAATTCAATGTCAAACTGCAACAATAACCAAGGCCGGTTGGCCCAATGGTAAGGCGTCTGACTACGACCGTAGCCGCCCAGGCAGCGAGTAATCAGGAGATTCTGGGTTCGAGCCCCAGGCTGGTCAAAACTTTTTGCGTTTTTCTGCCATGTCAAAAGACCCTGGCCCAGTTGAAGCGAGCATCGTTTTTCTTGTCTCGCTTTTTTGACCATCCTTTTTGGACCCTTCCTTTTTGTCGTGGAAAGACTTGGTTCTACTCGTCTGAGCTGGATGAGTCAATGTGCTCGGCTCGCACTTGTGCAGAGGCATTCACTTACAGGTCAGACCAGCGAACACAAGCAAGAAAGCTTATCGTTTTGGATCGAAGGAGCATCGCTCGAGTCGACACACCCAAAAGAACAATACTTAGGCTTCGACTTTGTGTCGCCTTGGGAGCAATACGAATACTTGATCACCCATGCAATCCGATCGTGCTATCTCACCACAAAAAGGTGTCCGAGGCCGTATTGCAAACCCATGCAGCGTGGTCTCAGGTCTCCTCCCCATCTTACCTTGGTTAGACCGTGAGAGTCAAGCATTCGTCATTGAGTCCAGCATAATGGAAGACAAAAATGGAGATGATTTCAGCCGGGTTCGAACCGGCGACCTCCTCCGTAAGCACTAGCAATTATAGGGGAATCAGAAGTGTTAAGGAGACGCGCTAACCAACTGCGCCATGAAACCATCTTACAAGATTGGCCAAGCTTAGCAAATATATTGCATACCACTAGTATTCAACACCTACATAATGGACTCCCAATACCACCAGGACGGACGCCCACTCTGTAGAAATACACCAAGACATCTGACAGAGACTTGTCGGGTGACAGGGAATCATCAAACATTGCAACTGGGTATGCGCGGGCGTACAAAGAACGACTTTCACGAGATACAAGGACAAGGAAAGGTGTGGATCGAGGACGACACAGGAATCAATGCAAGATGCTAAGAGTGTGAAAGGATGGGAGAGAGAGTGTGTGTGTGTGTGAGAGAGAGAGAGAGTGAGAGAGGCGGGACCCGCGCGGATGTATATGCTGCGGTGACGGTAACGAAGAGAAGGTGGCATGCCGGAATACGGCTCGACAGGGCATGTGTAAGAGTTGAAATCGGCGATCCTTGCCGGCACGGGAAGGAACGCTTTCCCTAGATCTACAGCTGACAGTCTTCGAAATCAGTCAACGGATAGAAGGACGTGGCAGAGTCCTCGCATATATACCCGCATGATGGATGATGAGAGAGATCAGCGCTTCGAAGCTAGGAGAAGAGAAGAAGTGGATGCTTAGTTGGCGGCATTGTTGCCAAAGTACGAGCCAAAAGGCTGTTGCTGGTGCTGCTGTTGTTGCTGCCTCTTCAAGTTCGAAATGGCATGCGGGTGGTTCATGTCTTGATCGGGTCCAGCGTTGAGCGAGGGCGAGATCTTAGGTGCTGTTGGGTAGTTTGCGGGACCGAAGCGATCCTTGTTCTGGGCCTCGTAGCCACCAAAGCCGTTACCAGACTCGTTGGGCATTCCAGGCGCGCTCATGCCGGCGTTCTACTGCATCGGGTTGTCGACACCGAACGGTTGCGAGCCGTAGGGAACCGCGTCGAGGAGCTTGGCGCTGCCAAGTCGCAGCGACTGCTTCTCAGCATCTTTGACGTCGAGACTTTAGCCAGGCATTCCCATTACGCCGCTCATGATGGGTTTCAAGTCGGCTGGAGACGAGGCAGAGGTGCCTCCCGGTGATGTGAATGCATTCACAAGGCCGCCAGGAAGCTGCTGTCGCTGCTGCTGAGACTGCTGGAAGGCATCCTCGCCCATGCCAAAGGTAGGGTATGAAGGCTGCTGCTGCTGAGGAGCACAATATGACTGGAGCGACCCACCTTGCGGCAACTGCGTACCGTGGGAGGAACCATACTCTGTCTTGACGTTCGAAGATGCATTGTTAGGGTCCGGGAACGCCGTTGGCCAGGACGCATTTATCCTGTCGGGAAGACCACGAGAATTGCAGGCGTCACCCTGCAGACCTTGATGCTGCTGCTGCTGACCTTGATAGTGCAGGTCATCTCGGAAGCCGCTAAAGTCGCGGACCCTTGCGTCGGATGAGCCACCGTCGTAAGGAGCACGGGCAGTGCTGCCACCTTCGCTGTGTTCGAGCTTGGACAACGTCGCTGCGCGTTTTCGGCTGTCATTCTGCTTCTTGTTGCCAATACCGCATCCTTTGACCAAGACGTGACGTTTCAGAGCGTCCTTGCGACTGAAAGCCTTGTCACAGTAGCCACATGGGAAAGGCTTGACAGCCAAGTGAATGCGAGCGTGACGCTTGAGATCATGGTTGCGACTGAAGATAGCATCGCACGCCGAACATTTGAATTGCTTGGGTGGAGGAACCGACGACCTAGCTTTGAGTTTGCCCCTGTCTGCCGCCGAAGTCAGCGTGATACGCGTCACTTGACCCGATGGTGCTGGGATGCCAGCGAAAGCGTCGAGGGAGTTAGGACCCAACGGCCAAAGCGTCTCGGCAGTGTGATCGTATGGAGCGCCGAGAGCGGGCGCCGAGCCGTTCATCATCTTAGGGAAGGCATCGTTACCGGCGTGTAGAGACGAGTCGCCATATGCACCGCTGTTGCCGCCAAGGTAAGGAGCTTGGCTGTGAAGAGAAGGTTGGGGCCGCTGAGCCATAGGAGCCATGAAGGATGCCGTAGGATACTCGGCATAGTCGGTGCTGGACTGGCCGGCCATACCCCAGGGCACTTGTGCCGGCTGGCTGTAGACCACTGGATTACGCAAAGCCGCTGATGATGAGTTGTCGTAAGTGTAGTTGCTTGGGTGTTCTTGATGGCGAGCCAGATCTGGTTGTGAGAAGCTGTTGGAGTAGCCCGCTAGATGCCTTGACCTGTCAGCGGCAGAGCCTTGCTGAAGCTGCTGCTGCATACGAGGTACAGGCCACATGGGCTCGGCGTGTTCGTCTGCTTGCGATCGACGATCGTAACCGAAGTTCAGGTACGAGGATGGCGGGGCCATCCTAGAGTACTGCTGACTGAAGCCGTACTGGCCGACTCCGTCGTGGCGCTGTGCGACTGCCATTGACTCGTCCTGCGAACGGGACAGGAAGGAAGACAACCGCGCGGCTTGAGGCTTTAAAATTGAGAAGATCGAGAAGGGCGCTGGGTGAAGGGCCTGATTCGACGAGCTATGCGTGATGTGCAGCAACTTGAATGTCGATGGGGACTGATCGAGCTTGCAGGACGTGAGCAAGGCTGGTGGTTGACTGTCGGATCTACAGAGTCTATCGAGACTACTATCGAGAGCTTAACGGTTACGAACAAGTAAGAAAAACACCGTCTCGAGAGTACATATATCAGGTTCTCACGTCAACAAGAAAAAGAAGCGTGGCTTGATGATGCGGATGAAGCCGAACGTAGGTGAGCAGACCTGGAGGCAACGATATGTGCAATCAGGCTACTTGCCACGAGGTGCTGCTTAGGACTCTGTGCGTCGGGTATCGATTTCAGGTCTGGAAGAGTTGTGAGGCCTAGTCGCCCAGAAGCTTTGTGCGTTGACGGTGGGGACCTCGAGTTGACCGTTCGGGCAACAGGCAAGGTTAGAAAGGATATGTGTGCAGGTCGAGGGAAACGACAAATGAAGGGAGTTTGATCGGTTGGCAGTCAGATGAAGCCGTTCGCACCAGATGCAGTGTACGACACTGTTGTCGAAGCTAGCAACGTCGGAAGTTGCGTCTAGACACCCGTCTGTGGTCAAGATGTTGAGGTCTAACGTCGAAAAATGAAGGCGAAGCAGGCACCGAGGCGGGTCAAGCAGGGTTGCACGTGAGGTAATGCAATGCAATTGAATGCCGCCGGTTTGACGCGAGAAAGCTTCATGATGGATAGAGTTGCATGAAGAGATTGTTGATGTTGATGGTGCAGCATGGCGGTAGCGAAGAGGAGAACGGTGGTAATCAGAAAATCAGCAAACAGAAGAGAGACAAAAGTTCGAGGTCAGTGAGATTGTCCTGAACGACAGAGCACAAGGATGACTGGTCAAGAGCAGAAAGTGTTTTCCGAATCGGGAGCATCACACAAGAATTGGCAGAGATTCGACCCACCAAGTCCCAAGTGGGCAACGGCTACTAGACTGGAAAGAAGACTGCCAATATTTGCGATGGTGAGCGCGGTTGTGCGGTCATATGAAGCAAACTATAGCCTGCACAACACAGCAATTGCAACGCCAGCGGGACTTGTGCATGGTGCAGGTCGTGGCCGTGGAGGGTGACATCCTTCAAAGGGTTGCGGTGCTTCATCTGCATTGCAAACAGTCCACAAATCGGCGAGCAGAGCAAAGTGAGGGAAGGACTTGTTCATCTCGAGCAAAGCTTGCGTTGAAGGACAGCTAAGACGAAGCAAATCGCGTCCCAACTTTACACTTGCAGCCGATGGGAGACCGAAGGAAGGTTGCGTGCGTGGAGTCGCAATCGCAATACCACTAGCGTTCAGGAACGCATATGCTGCACCCTAGGAGAGACTCCACACATGATTGTCGGAAGATCAAGCGAGGAGCTGCGAGGAAGAATGAAAGGCGGTGGGTACTTACGACTTCCGAAAGAAAGTTTTGCGGGATCGATGAAGATTAGCGTTTCCGCGGCCAATGTCAATGACGCAGATCGATCGTAAAAGCGCAATGTGACGATTCAAAGGCACAACGGAAGTCGGAGGGAGTTTCAAGGTTCGCGATGAAGCGATGGCAATGACCGAGCTGGAAGAAAGATGAATTGTAAAGGCTGATGGTAGAGACAGCTCTGAATAGTCGACAAGAGGTATGAGGTGACGCGAGTGTTCCGGTCGAAGCGAAGCCGAACTGTCGAGGGAGTGAAAGGAGGCGAAGTCGGAAGCCGGATAGTGTCCAAGTGTGCCGAACGGTTGTTGGGAGTATCGCGATTGTCAACTCTCGCAATTGGAGGAGAGCAACGGCGGGTAGGCGGTGCCCGTATCGATGCGCTGAGGTCGAGGAAAGCAAAGACTTTCGGGGAGGGTCCGATGAGGGTCTATAGTCGCTCCTCTGCGGTGACGATGGCGGAAGGGCGAGGATATTGGTGTTGGAGTTGCTGGCGGTCAAGAGCTAGCAAGCTAGTGGTTGGTAGAAAGAGGATGGAATGGTATGTCTATCGTAGCAAGGACTGGACGATCGAGGTTGAAGGAGGTGGTCCTGAAGAAAGGAAGCAAGAGGAGCCTCGAGGGTTATGACTGAGCTGGTCGGAAACTGAGCCTGACCCAACCAAACCCGAATCGGAAGAGCCGAAACGTCACTGTCGCAGTTCGGCAGAGGCTATGCTGGAGAGAAGGCGAGAGAAAAGAGAGAGAGGAGAGGGACGTTGTCTATAGGTGACAAAAGGTCGTCAGCTCGAGGGCGTGGATGGCATTGGGATAGAAAGGGAGTTAAGGAAAGGAAAGGAGGAAGAGGGGGCTAAAAGATAGGATGGCCAGGTTGAGCAAGGGTTTATCGACAGATCCGACTCCGTTCGAGGAGGGCGGTAAAGTGAGACGGAACGGAAAGCAACATGAGCAGCAGCAGCAGAGGCCAAGGCAAAGCGAGGCAAGGCAAGTCGTGTTGGGTGAAAGGGGAACTGCAAAGAGACATGCAGCATGAACAAGCACGAGTTGCGATCAAAGGCGAGAGCAGAAAAGTTGGGTGTGTGTTGAGGAAGGGCGAACAGCAGCAGCATCTGCAAGCACGATGACCAGGCAGAAAGAGTCAATTTAGAGGAATCATCAATGAGCATGTTCGGCAAGCATACAACAATTGAAGGCGAAATCGGCCCATAAAAGTGCAGGTGCAGGTGCAGGTGAAAAGGCGGCGGAGGCCGAAGGTGAGTAAGATCCCAAGTCCCTTTCGGGCCGGAGGGTGGAATAGGCTCTTTTGGCAGAAGTCAGCATCATCCACCTTGTTGGTTCCTCTCCCTCACTTCTGTCTTTGCAATGAGCGTGGGCAAAGACATGCAGCATGATCAGCAAGCACAAGAGCACAAGAAGCGGAACAACCGAACCAGGGATAGAGGAGGCTTATTTTATTTTAATTTTTAAAAAAAGGGGTTTCCTTTTGGTGGCAGAAGGAATGCTCAAGGCCAGAGTAGTTAGCAGCAGCAAGTCAAAGCGTGGGTGTGTCTCAGAAGATGAAAAAACAGAGAACAGCAAAGAAGATGTGCCTGTGTTCTCAGTCCCTGTGGGTTTTCTGTATCGTAGTAAATAAGAAGTGTCTCTTCTCCTCGTCGATTGGCACGTCCCTTCTATCGAGCATGTTCGAAGGGCGGGCGGAGAAAGAACACCAAGTGAGTGGATTTATTGTATAAAAAAAGAATGGATAGGCGTGATGGGCGTGAACAAGTGTAGAAAAGGAGCCTCACCCATCGCGAGTGAAAAAAAAAAAAAAAAAAAAAAAAAAAAAAAAAAAAGAGAAAAAAGAAAAAAAGCAGAAGTAGGGAAGGCATACAGGCGAGCGAGGCATCAGAGAGGGAGAGGGACTGGCGGCTAAATTGCTAAGCGTGGTGCTTGGCAGGCGTGGTTGCCATGCCCAGTTGTTGGTCCAATTAGGCGCGAAAAAAAAAAAAAAAAAAAAAAAAAAAAAAAAAAAAAAAAAAAAAAAAAAGAAAAAAAAAAAGTTCAAATTCTTGAGTGTGGCCCACGCTTGGTGTCGGTGGCGGAGTTTCAAAATCATTGGCATTTCTAGGCCTTATCCATCAAAGGCAGTGAGAGGAAGATGTATCGTCGACAATAACGTCGACAATCATGAACGACGACAACAGCAACAGCAGTAGCAAGAGCAAGGGCAAGTGGACCGTCCTGCCCTTTAGAGACCATAGCCGAGAAACGATCCAGCATCATCAAGTCGTTAACGTAGCGATCTGGCATCATGCTCCATCTCGCCTGATCGATCCCGTCTCTCTATACTTTGCCCTTCGACAGCGAAGCAAGCTCGATTGAGTGCTAAAAGGCTTGCTGGCGAGGAACGCAATGTTCGAATCATAGAGATGGATCACACGGGACAGAGATGAATGTCAATCAATCGAGTCTAATCCACAAGCGACAGCCACACACACTGCAAAAGCTGAAGAGAGACAGATAGAGAGAGCAATCAAGCAAGCAAGCAAGCAAGCAAGCAAGCAAGCAAGCAAGCAAGCAACTGGCGATGCGGCGTTCGAGCAAAGAGGTGCGAGCCTTTCTTTTGACTATTCCTAGTGCCCATTCCTTTCATTCATGTACTAAGCAAAACGCCAGCGTCAATATTAAGAGTACTGTAGTTGTTACTTTAGAGGCCAACTGACCCGATCATCATGGCATGACAGCCAGCAAAGCAACTCTGCATAGGGCAAAGCAAACAAGCCATAGTATCCTATCGAGTCGTATCGTATCAAAGCGATTGCTGCTGCTGCTGCTTGAGTCTATGAGTACTGTGTATCAGGGGTCCGCCTCTGTGCATGCAGCAGCTGCCGGTGTGGGTTTCTCGGCATCAGACGCATGTGTCAAAACTCGTAGACAAGCAAGGTGCCACTTTGTACTGCTCACTCACATCAGATTGTGGCGGCAAAACCAGTTCGAAAGCCAACTCTTGCGATGCAAACAAATGAGATACGTTAGATAGAGAGGATTAGCGTGCGCCTTAATCTAGCGAAATGGGATCGACTGGAATCCCAGTATGATGTCGAACTTCCCGATACTCTGATTGAAGTAGTGAGTGTTCAGTGCTTAGTCTTGTGCCTGCCGCTCCAGCCAGAGAGCAGGGTGCGAACACGGTTCGGCAACGCTGAATTGTAATCTGCACCAGTGAAATTCCGCTTTGTGACGTGAGATTGACGTCTAAGCGTCGCAGCAGTGGTTGATCGGATTCAAGTTGCCGCGATCAGCTGAACAAAAACCATGGTTCCGGTTTTTGAATTGAGTTTGCCAACAGTCCTCTGCTCTGGCGCTTCTTCCCTTGAACGGCAATATCGGAACTTTGCACCAAGACAAAAAAGAATGAAAGAAAAAATAAGGATTGGTTCGTTTCACGGTGGAACCTGCTTTCTCTCGCTTTTCTATTTTTTTTTTATTTTT